GGGGATTCAACGCAGTCCAGGTCGCACCCACGTTTATAAGACCAACGCCATGGAACCAAACAAACACTAATCTGTTCCTCAAATCCGCAGTCCCTACTGGTACACCTTTTACGTCACCCAAGTCTTCCTCTTCGTCACCGGCGCCTACCCCATGCTCTACGATAAGATGACCATGTACATTGGCAGCGGTTACGAGGAGCAGATCCTCAACATCATCTGGGTCGGTCTGCTGAGCGTCGAAGCTCTCATGGTCGCCGGCGTCGCTGGTGTTGCTATTACGCGCAAGTTCAAGGGCGCCCCCAAGCAGAAGACGATCTAGGCCGCACGCGCATACCCGATTCATACCCTTTTGTTGCTGTTGTCTATATCGAGGTCTCTCATCTGGTGAGACGAAAGAACATACCACGGGCAAAACGTCATGCCTGCATTTATTGCATCTTTGGAGTCAGGGGCTTCTTTTGAATAAATCTTTTTTTCGTTCTTCCGTCCGCTTGCCCTCCTTGAGTACCCGACGGTTATCCTCCTATCTACGAAGAACGATGAATCGATTGGGAACACACCAGACCCTCGAACGAAAGGCTGAACAGGCGGACACCAAGTCCCAAGCACAACAATCAACGACAGCTTCCGGAGAACCCAGCCTCGAATGACTAGAAGATACCCACGACTTGTCACACGACTTGTCCCATACGAACTTAAGAGAAGGGTGCGAATGAATGATTGAATGACGATACGAAATGGGAGGCTCCTGCCACCCGGGGGCATGGAAGCAATCACCCATCAAAAGGATACTGGCAAATTATTGTCGAAAAGGAGGACGAACGCTCGGAAGCCTACGCTTGGCCTTACCGAAACGCCAGCGCTTGGCAGCATGCCCGGCTAACTTTCTGAGTTACAATGAGAAGGACGAGAAGAATCGCCCCGCGATTGTCGACTGATGACGATGTCTATTCAAGAGACAACTAGTCTAATCGCCGCGGTGAGGCAAGGCTAGTCTTGAGTCGTATAGAAGCTATGTCATGGTACCTAGACGAGGGAGGCATGCCGTTTCCATCTCAGTGATGAGCGGCTATTTGCAGGGACAAATATCTGTTGCCTTGCTGAGTGGGTACCATGTAACCAAGAATTGAGCTTTGAAGAAATCTCTCCCAAACTGGGTTGCTTGAGCCCCGCGTGTCATTCTCTATTTCGATCCACATGTGCAGCCCTCCTGGTGACGTAAGGGCGTTTATCAGTCAACTATCCCGAGGGTGGTTAAAAATGCTGTGCAATGTGCACGGTTTGGCGGAGTTCATCCAACTGGCTGCATGCATGATGTCAATATGCCGTTGGAGATCTGCTTCACGCAAGCCGAGGGCTCGAAGCTACACCAATGCACAGTCTCGAGAGGGCAAGCCTGATATGACAGTCCACCTGTGAGGGGGTGCATCGATTCATGTCCACGGGAGGGGTTAAAAATGCTGTGAATTTCGACACAATCCAATTGGTCTCTGGTGATATGCCGAGCTGGGGTTCCAGAAGGCTGCCTGTGGGGGTCGCGATCTTGTCATTGGTGTGATGGCGCCTGGGCGTCGGCGTCGACTTGCCACGCAGTGCGTCCTCGCGACCTTTGGATCCTCCAGTAAGCGATAATGCTAGGATCGCGCTGCCGACGAAGCCTGTTGAGCCCCGTCATGACGATCTCCATCGCACCACCTAACCGAAGTGAGAGTTTCCCCCCCCCCCCCCCCCCCCCCCCCCCCCCCCCCCCCCCCCCCCCCCGCCCCCGCCCCGCCCCCCCCCACCGCCCCCCCCACCCCCGCCACCCCCCCCCCCCCACTCCCCCGCCCGCCCCCCCCCCCACGTCCCCCCCCCCTTCGCGAAACTGGAGATCAGGAGGGTCTGGGCAAGGCTGTCTCGATATCCCCAACAATGACCTTTGGCACGTAATTCGCACTCTTTTGCTGCGAGACCAGCGCGGTCATCCCGCTGGGGCGGGCTCGCGTGGTACATATCCTCAGGTGAAACCGCGACGCCCATTGACGGCCGGATCGCGCTCTGAAGCATCATCAGGAGCAGCGACGTGCCCCGACGAGGAAGACCTGAAGGCATAGTTATGCCTCTGGCACCGACTGACATCTGAGATAAGGCGCCTTATCTTTCATGCAGAAGCTGTCCTCGCCCTGGGTTGGCGGGTTTCAATTTGAGGAAAGACCCCACGACGAAGCGGAGATTAAATGGCACGTATCTGGTGACATACAACAACTGAAAATTGAGCGTTATCAGAACACGACTCAGTCCCGCCGTCGTTTTGGCAAACAATTTCTCATCAAGACGACCGCTAGTCACCCAGAGTATGTTGGTAGCATGGGAGAATAGACATTGAAGCCTCGACAGGCGCTCCTAGGTCATTGACTCGGGAAACATGGCTTTTCCACCTCTGTGAGGCTGATCTCAGAAGTCATTGAACCAGCATGCTTGTACAGAGTGGCGTCGACGCTATCGACTCTCAAGATTTGATCCCTGAATCTGGAAACATGGCTCTCGATGCCTTTGGCCATGCGGGATACCGACAGCGTCTTGCCACCAGTGATCAAGAGACGCAGTTCGAGAGGCACCTCATTCAGACATGAAAACGGATCGCGGAGCATGTGGAATCTCTCATCCACAGCCTGCGCAACAATAACAGAGCAAGCCTGTTTTTGAGAGTGAGTAAGATCCGTAACATACTTGTCTGTGCCACTGGAGCCGGCTGCATGGAGAATCGAGTCCCACTGTGTAAAGCTGGCGTCCGACCCGCGTATACATCCTTTATCAATTCCCAGCCACCAGCCTAGTAGACCGCCCATGAGAAGCGTCTTCTGAAAAAACTCGCCAGTGACTTGCCTCGTGATGCGATAGCCGCCAGGTTTGAACAGGTTACGGACATGAACCATAGTCTTACTGATATTGCTTGTCATGTATGAAACATTTGAACACCAGGATCAGGTCCTAGCTGCCTTTGGAGACGCCCTGTTCTGTCCTGTCTGGTTCACTGTCGAGCATCTTGTACGTGAGGTGCTTGCTTCGAACCACTTCTTCGCATTCTCAAGGAAGCCGGCTGAGATGCCGGTGTACGTATAATGACCGAAATTGTCTCAGAATGAAGTGGGGGTTTTGCACCAGTGCCGGTGCCGATCCCAGAATGTCCAATCGTGGATGGTTTTGCGAGAAGTTATCAACGAGATACGCGAGGAGCTTGTTGAACGGCTTCATGGCGCGACTGTCGATACAGAGCTTACTCAGCATGTTGTCGCCGAGCATGACTGGATGCAGACGAGTTTAGCTCGTAGGCCGCGGTAGTACGCAAATCTTGATGCCGTCGGCTGGGAAAATGATGCCAGCAGCGTACAAGGCGGCAATCTCTCACGAGGAGTGGCTAAATTCCGCGTTGAAATGAACGCCTGAACAGGCTAGAACATCAACGATGACAATCTGGATTGTAGTGCAGAGAGGTTGTAAGATGGCAGCCTCTCGTTCAGGGGCCGTGAGCTCCTGCCCAAGAGACCATGATGGAGCATCTTGAAGGGCCCTCAGAGCAGTCTCGCTCTCGATGACAGACTGCCTGAACTGAGAGCATGATTCGATCATCAGCCGATCAATAGAAGCCCACGGTGCTCCCTGGCCAGTGAAGATCCCAAAGAATCTCAGGAGGCCCGGCAGAAGCAACCAGAGCGTTGGTGCCTATTTCAGCTCCAATCTCAAAGTGTTCTCTGGCCATGTCAAGAAACAAATTCTGAGCGTAAGCCACAGCATCGACATTCGATACATCTGTGTTGAGAATGATCTCTTTCGGCAAGAAATAAATGATAACTAACGGCCGCGAAAGTCCGACGAGGTCGCAACTCCATCCCTTGGCCCAGTCGAAAGACGTGGCAATCGGAGTCTACACTGGAGATTTGATAGCACTGGATGCCTTGTGTACCCATGGTAGAAGCAGCAGCACAGACAGGAAAATGCACTCAGTGCCAGTGGAGCTCAAATTGGAACCAAAGCGAATAAGGAATAATTTGCGGGTGGGTAGTCGCAGTGGTCGAAAAGCCGCCAACATTTGAGCGCCGGAGAGTCCACCGATCCCTGTGCTACGGCCCGGCCCCGCAATGCTCCGCAATTCTCTGAGGGGCCCGGACTGCTTCCCGGGACTCGCCAGGATACAAGGTATGATCTTCCGCCTGTAAAGTTTTCGGATCTGATGTTTGATGGCAGAAAACATTCGAATATCATGACCGTGACGTATTGTCCCTTAAACGGCGCAAAAGACGCGAGGAAAAGTCACTCGCATTGGCTATCCGTGTGTCGTTTATTTCTACAAATGGGTATCACGACCTTAACTATACACAAATTACCACCCTTTTCATTGAATCAGAATATGTCTAGCAGCCAAGGTTGAGATCCAGATCCAAGATCCTCTTGGCAGCATACGCAGCAGCGACCATGATGGGCGCCTGCGTGTTACCAGTCGGGACCTCGGGATGCATGCTAGCATCCACGACGAAGAGGTTGTCGGTGCCCCAGACCTTGGTGTCGGGATCGACAACGCTCTTGCCATCATTGGCGGAGCCCATTTGAGTAGTACCCAGGTAATGACTTCCTCCGCCGATAGCAGCCACGAGAGCTTCGGCAGTGGTGTTCTCGGGGACGGTGAGAATGCTGTCGGGTTCACGAGCCCACTGAAGCAGGGTATCCACAAAGGTGGTTAGGGCCTCGATATCGCCCTCGGTGTGCATGAGAGGGTTCTTCGTCATATTGGTTGCTCCGTTCGGCGTGATCTCGACGGTACCGGTGGAAGTGGTGCCGTGAGTCAGGTACACCTTGACGCCAATGGTATTGTTGCTGTCTGCACGAACGGTACCCTGGACATGACGGGTAGCGCCATTGGTGGTGTTGACGCTGGTCCAGAAGTTCAGGCGCTGACCGGCCTGAGCCATGAGACCGCTGCCTTGGGCGAAGAGATCAATAGTCTCTTGGTCCGGGTCGGTCCACGCGGTCTTGGGGAGCGCGATGAGGTTTTCTTTGGTCGTAAAGGTGACGGTCGCAATGCCGTGGTCCTTGAGGTTCTCGCCGACGGGAAGCTCAATCCACTGCTCCTTGGGCGGGAGCTGGATGTTGGTGGTACCCGAGGCAACGATTTCAATCTGCTTAGCAGGGCCGATGCCGGAGTTGAAGAGGACGCGAGGGGTGGAGTGGGAGCCGGCGGCGAGGATGAGAGATCCACCCTTGCTGAGCTTAATGACCTCGCGAGCTCCACCGTCGTGCTCGACCTCGACCCCGGTAACGAGGCTGCCGTGGCGGATGGCGCGGAGGACCATGGAGTGAAGCTCCAAAGTGAAGTTGGGAAGGGCTTGGGCGTGGGGAAGGATCGCGCGAACGGGGCTGTCGCGGAGACCGTGAGCAATCTAGAATATCAGGGTCAGCAAAGTTCGCGATCATGACATGGAAAACAGGTGGAATTGTTGTCACTTACCGACCAGGCAGGGTGCGAGTACATAAGCTCCTTGGCCTCAGGGTCATTCAACGCATCTTGTTCGCTCCAGCCATGAGCATCCAAAAACTTGGACATGACCTCAAAGGCACCGTCGTCGTACCGCTTCCCATTCTCAGAAGCCAGAATGGATCCCGGAAGACGCTGGTAGAACTCCTCCGCGGCATCCGAAACACCATTCTCCCAGTGCCACTCCTCGGGCCAGGTCGCGAAGTCAGCCTTGCGAGGCTTGATGTACATGAGCGCATTGAGCATGGTCGAGCCGCCGAGGAGACATCCCGCGGCAATAGCGAGGTCCTTGCAGTACTGGAGGTCGGGGGACGCGCCGGTGAAGTCGGCCATGCCGGGAACGTCGTACATGGTGACGGTGCCGTTCCACGGCATCGTCTTGTTGTTGCCGGTCACGTAGAAGGACGTGCCGCCGCGCTCGATGAGAAGCACGCTGCGACCCGAGTTCGCGAGGCGCTCGGCGGCCACGATACCCGCGGTTCCACCGCCCGCGACGATGTAGTCGTAGGTCGTGTTGCGGGTGGTCGTGGAGTTGCTTCTGAGGCTCAGGCGGGCTGCCGCCGTCTCGCTCAGCGCGAGGAGCGCCGAGCTCAAGGCAATGAACTTCATAGTGATGTAGAGCCGGGGAAGACGTTCGAAGAGGCAAATGACAGGACACTCAACCAAGAATCTGGAGAAGCAAGAGCACGACGACGTCGGCAGGGGCACAGGATTATCTACTTACATGATTTGAGCGATCAGATTGATAAGATGAGATTGATAACCCTCGTTTAAACTTGTCCAATTATCAAATTTCGGCACTAGAAAGCTGGCGCTCCGCAGAACCGGGTAAGACTAACTTGATGCGGGAATGATGGTTGCAATTTGGTGGATCTCGCAATATAAGCATACTGGGCAGCGGGGGCTGACCGCGAGTGTCTCCATTGCATTGGGCAACTGACATGGCAGATCGTGTAAAAGTTCTATTTTCTTTAGTAAAATACCTCATACCGCATGTTTTGGCGAACTCAAATCCCACCCGCCAAGCCGGAGTTGCCACCGTCTAGGTAGCAGTAGCATCAACAGCAGTGGTAAGCGAGGTTCTTGGAAGGCAGCTTGAAAACGAGCATGACGGCGGTGGCAGGGCAATTTGAAGCGACTATGTGGAGAAAGGGCTGGGCGGAACGGATCTTGCACTGGAAACTTGCTGTGTCGTTGGTTGAAGGTTGTTCTTCTTCAGCAAACGTGCTGTCACTTCCCGTCCGAAGAGTACCAAAACCATGTCAAATCGCTTGGTCATCATGTTTGCGTCCAATGAGGAATCGATTGGGATTTGTTTGGAATGAGCGGCTGTGCCGGGCACTTTTGCTCCTTTGTTGCTACCATGGAAAATCCTTTTTGGTATTGTTGAGAGGACTTCGGGATAATGGTTTAGCCCCTTAGTGATGCGTCCCACTCCAAGCGGCTATTGGCGGTCAGGTACGCCTGCGACTGAAGCCTCTACGTTCCTACTCGAACCCTGAGAACACCTGAAGGCTCGGCTAGTCCTTATCTCCTCAAGCCCGGATCCCTTGAGGTCTCTATTCGTACCGTCTCGCTGGGTCCTTCTGCTGTAGCTGTGGCAGCATGTCCTTCTTGCCAAGCACGATGGCCAGGTTGAGGGCTGTCAAAGGAGATTCTAGTCCAACCAACCTCCCTATCTTGCCGTCGGCATTATCGGTTCTCTCAATCTTCAAAAAGCCATCGCAGCGTCCCTCGAGATCACATCCTAACCTCACAAGCCAAGTTACAATCTCAACATGACCGTTGGCCACAGCTAAATGCAGCGGTTGGAAGGAGGCGTATTCCACGGTCGTCCACCGATTCATATCCGCCGGTCCGGACCCGTCACTCTTCAGCAGCTCCTGTACGCAGCCGAGGGACCCATAGAGACATGCAAAGTGCAAGGGGGTCAACCCAAATGCATGGGTGACGTTGTCGGCTTTTGCACCCAGCGCGAGGAGGGCGTTGGCGGCTGCTGGTTGATCGGCCATCACGGCGGCATGCAACGGGCTCCGACCGTAGTCATCGGCCGCGTCGATCAAAGCACCCAAGTCGGCGAGGCCACGGATGACTTCATTACTGCCCCCGCACGCGGCGTGGAAGAGAACCGATCGTCCTGCATTATCCCTGGCATCAATGTGCTTGTTCGTTCCCATCAGTCTGGTTAATGCGTCTACCATCTGCATGTTGCCAGTGGCTGCTGCCCGATGTAGTGGGAGTTCGCCCAAGTCATTGGTGTGTGGGAACGAATGCGATCCAAGAAAGTCTTCTTTGATGAGGTCAATGATTTTTCGTATTCTGGGATTTGCCAGTCCGGAAGGCGCATAGGCGGAGAAGAGGTGAAGGACAGTTTCGAGCCTCTTTGTTGTGAACTTGTGTAGAATGTCGGGATCGGTCCCAGAGGCAAACTCGATGTAGTGATACGCTTGCGAGGCCCCGGATATGATCCCTTGCAGAATGTCAGGTCTGGTGATCTTGAGATTTGACTCTCTTTCTTCTTCTAGGAGATAGGCAGCAAGATTGAAGTGGCCATTTAGTACCGCTAGGTGGATAGCCATGTAGCCGCTTCGAGTTCGGCTTGTGGTATCCGCACCTAGCTTCATCAACGTCTTGAGCATCGATAACGAACCGAAAGCTGCAGCCCAGTGAATTGCTCTGAAGTCGTCAAATTCCTCTGTCGGCAGCTCAAGAACACCTCTGCGCTGTCTCACTAGAGGCGGAACGTCTCTATCATATCGTGCTCGAACGGCTCGAATCAAGTCGGCATAGGGCTTGCTTGGTTCAATCTTGATAGCAGAGAGCTCGTTTACAAATCGAGCAGAGATGTTGCTTGCCAGCTTGGTTCTGACCCCGTCCTGGAATGGAACGGCTGGGGACAACATCAGCGAGAACCTGTCGAGATAGCAACAGGAACGCGTGACTGCGCCGACCTCATCAAACACTGCAACAGGCTCCAGCCTCTGTGGAGACTTGTTGGTAATATTTGATAGTGGCCCCCCCTCGTCTGGAACAGACAGGAGTTCAGAGGTACCGGAAACCTCCAGTTGAATGAAACGTCGGCCTCGTTTTTGGGACTCCTTGGCCTCTATAGTAATGAAACCCAAGCCTTTAGAGTTTTGGTATGATGCACCGTCCGAGGCAGTGGTAATCTCGGGAAACTCCAAGTAGACGGACTCAAGACTGTTACCGGTATAAGGATGTTTTTCGTAGCACACTTCCCATCGTCTCCTGACTCGACGAAGCCCAATAGCAACATCAACAACTGATCTTGGGCTCCGCTCGAGGGACTCGAATCGCAAAACGACCATAGTGCGATTCGATTGCGGCTCTTTGGTCCGAATCACGGACAGGATGGTATCCCACCTTTCGGGTGGAAATGCCTCATGAATGGCGAAAGCCAAATGTGAAACCGGGTCCTTTGAACTGGGACGAAGCCTCGTTTTCACGCTTAGTTCAGGCAAAGCGTAAAACGGATTCTGCCTGACGTAAATGTTCTCATACGTTCCTTCAGCGTCATCGAAATGGTCCTGAGGGAACAAGATAACGGAGCCCTCTTCGGAAGGAACTCTTGCGAATTGGTCACTCCACAGCCGTTGTAGAATGATGCAAGGGCTCAGCTCTTCGCTCGCAGATTCAGGTTTGGAGACTATGCAGTCCAAGAGGGCGTAATACTCATCCCCACCCGGCCGAAGTGGAATAAGAAGAATGCTCGTTCGGAGCCCCTGGTTGGTAACACTGGTTGGAGTACTATCTTGTGACTCTGATGGAGGCAAAGGTCGCACATAATCAAAGTCCACCATTGAAAACGAGCTTGGGGAATTCGCAAGCAACCCAAAAAGGTCGTCCGAGTCAGGGCGAACGTCCGCCGGCATTCCCCACAGAAACAAAGACTGATCATCGGTCTCCTTGAGGATCTCCTCTTGCAGACGGGTGAATGCTCGATCACCCTCGCCGTATAGCAGGGGCATATTCACTTTGAACAGTCCCATCAGGCAGTACGCCTTGTCCTCTGGTCGCGTCGTCTCCCGATGCCCGGCCCATCGCATCTTGTTCGCGACGCTAATGTCGCTCAGAAAGGATGTGCCAGAGAGCACCTGCTCATCGATGCCTGTAATCCTGGCAAGCAGTTGACAAAAGTCATTTCTCGACTGCTTCGTGTTCACATAGGACCAGTCGCCGGCATAGAATTCGACAGTTCTTGGCGCAATGAGCTCTTGCAACGTCCATCCTCTGGTAAACCATCGGCTTTTTTGGAAACTCGAATCCTTGTCAAACGGGCTCTCCACAGAGACGGGCTCCACGTCGGAGAGAAAAGCGTAACAGATGACGGCCTTCTCGTACCAGCGGTACATGGAGTTGATGGATTCTGACAACTCGGCGCTGCTGGTCTTGTCGATGCAGCAGGTGTCGGCCCAAAGGTAGCGGTGGCCATGACTCTTGACCAGGTTTGCTGCATCTTGTATCTTGCGGAAGCCGCGGGTGGAGCGGATCTGGTCCGCGGAGTCCGCGACCCCTGGACTGGATGCCGCATCGGAAGCCAAACCAAGAGCTTGGAAGCTTTGGAACGTCACTTCATCGCTGCCCCAGGTGTGAGACAAAATAACATACTCCTCCTGGGGGTCGCCCTGCACCTCGACGAGCTTGAGGCTTTCAGTGTCAACAAGCCACATATCGATTGGTTATGCGGCGGAGGCGGGCCGGCGTCAAGAAGATGTAGGTAGTGAAATGCCAAGGCTGAGGCGACGATCGTCAGCTGAACTGGAGTCATTAGAAAAGAAGTTGATTTGTTGTTATCTTGGGAAACGACGTGATTGGTTCGGTTGTATGCAGCTAAACTGGATATTGAATCCATCTCTGAAAACGCCTGGCTACACCACCATCCTATCAATGGCAATTCAACCACTAAAGCAATTAAAGAATACCGAAGATGCCTTTTCTTGTTATAAATAACCAATGAATTAATTCAAGATATTCATGTCGTATAAAGCGCAATTCAAGATATTTGACAATGTGTTCACTGAATCCCTAGCGGCAATGTGAGAGCTGCATATGAGGTCTGCGGTTGAGTATCCACAACCACTAGGTAGGTCTCAAAATGGAGGAGACTTTTCAACCAGCACCTAGTATTAAGCTTAAGAAGTGCTCGACACAGGGGTTTCATATTTTACCTTAGTGTGGTAATGGGGGCCACTGTTACCATCTTCTGAATTTTCCCACGCCCTGGTCACAGCGGGCCCTGGTTCGCACTAACATATGAAATCCATGGGGAGGTCTACGAACCTTAGCAAAACCTGCAAAGGAGGGGGGATGCTATTGATAGACGCGGGATGCCGAAACTGCTTCCTGGGCATTACTGCGTATATTTATGATGTGAAATTCGGTTTCGCCGTCCATGGAGGAGTGTCGGATCTGGAGATCAGAACCCGCGGAGAAAAGACGAGTAGCCAATCGCAGGATTTATCTGGCTGCGAATCCCCCCCGCCGGGCAGTTTGATCTTCAAGGAGGTTCAAATACTCCACGACGAATCAAGAGGAAGATGGTACAACCTCCCTTGCATCCCCACTAAAGACACCACTGGACCCTGGCTACGGAGAACAAGAAGCTCGCGACGTCGCTTCGTTCCCATGTATTGAAACCTCGTTCGATCTTCGAAACGCCATGCCCAGGTGCTCAGCCTTCTTCCAGGCCCAGCATGCCCTTCATCGCATCATCTCAGTCCACACGATGCAGTGCCTCTGCCAACCCATCTATAAGATGGCACCTGTCTTGTCGCTGTCAACTCTTGTCATAGGTTTCAACTCATCACCCACAAAACTGCCATCCGATACGCAAACTCTTCTCTTCTAGACCTGGTGTCACCTTTATTTAAACTTTATTTAAACTTCCTAGCAAAAATCTTGTATTCTTTTACCTTACCGAATTTTATTTCCCCACGAAACCCACTTGAACCATCCCGATCCATCCAAAATGTACGCCCAACAAGCTATCGTCGCTTTCTTGATGGCCACCAGCGCCACTCTCACCAGCGCAAGTTAGTATTGTCTTGTCAAAAGTACAACCCATACCACCCTTTCTAACTCGTTGTCCGTTTCAGGAAGCATCGACAGACGCCAATTGCTTGGGAGTCTTGGTAGCCTCCAGTGCAATGTGGCACGGCTCCAAATCGTCGGCGCCCTGAGCGACACCCAGGACGCTGTTGATCAAATCTCCGACGCAAAAGTCCAGCAGGCTGCCAACGCCGGCCTTCAACAGGCGCAAGGCGGTATTTCGCAAATTGCAAAGTCTCTTATCAGCGGCGGTGCACCGCCTGCGGCCAGCCGTAACGAGGTAGCAGCTGGACTGTCCGCGGCCGGTACCGCTCTTTCTGGTGCTGATGCGTAAGTTTCCTTCATCTCACCATAAGCACGTTTGAAAAGATTACTTGCTGACACTTATGCAGGAGCAACAAGGCTGTCGCTGATGCGCAAGCAGGGCTTGCTAAATCAGTCAAGGCTGGTCAGGATGTCGTTGCAAACTGCTAAGGAGGTAGACGAGCGGAGCTCAATAGACGACAAACAAACAAGGCATCAGACAGTAGCAGGACTAGCAGCGATACCACATAGTCAATATTAAAAACTCAAATGCCTCTAGATCATGTGATTGCTGCTGGGATCTCGTCTTTCGATTCCTAACGTCACCATCCAAATCCAGATCGCCCTCCCAATCAGTTACCTCGCCTGTCGCAGGTCTTGAGCCGGCGTTAGAACAGTTCTCCGAGGCAGGGAGTGCTAAAATCTGAGCACGCTGTTGTCATGATTTCTGTGTTGCTCAAATCATGCCTGACTATAGTCTTTCATTGATAGAAGTCGCACTCGGTATCGCATCGTACTTCGTAAAAGTGTGCGACTTTGGGTGGCTGGTGATCATGCTTGCCGGAGTCAACTACAGAAAGACTGAACATCTCCCTTCCTGAATTGCGGACATCGAGTCGTCATTCAGAGTCTTTGGACTCAAGAAGAAGCTCATTGAAGAGTACCTAACAAGTTCTTTTCGACTCAATCTTGGGCTTTTTGAGGATGATGATAAGTTTGTCAAAATTAGGCTGAAGTCTAAAGGGGTAAGAAGAACCTCCTCCATGGGAATCCCGATCTACACGCCGATATTGCTCGAGGGCTGGGTAAGAAAAGAAACTCAAATAACCCCGAGGCAAGGTCGACTTCAGGTAACGCCGAGTAAGGTTTGCAACGTCCATGAGGTTTTCGACATGGAAAGCACGGGCTGGACAGGCAACGTCTTCGAAGACGCCGCCTTCTCTGAAACTATCAGTTATTACCCAATGATATCAGCGCCTTACTCTTCTGCTGTGCTTCTCATTAAAAGATCAGAAGGTGCGTTGTCTGATTTCATCATGGACATCGATGATCTCTACTGGCTACATGGCGCCCATGGCTACACCATCCTAAGATTCGATCCATCAGGCAACACGCATACTCTAGTAAGTGTTTGTGACCTAGGAGTATAATCTTGTACTGGAGGCCAACGGAAATCGGGGGGAATCCTCCGATTACGGCTGATACGGGCAGACAAATCTCTTGCGCTCAAATCAATTAGGCTCACTCTGGAGACCATAGCCCCACCATCCAGCAACCACGATACATATCATGCCCCACTTGAAATCAATGACGAGAAAGCTTTCATTGAGTCAGGTAAACAGCTCGTAGGTCTTCTTGCAGGAGAGTAACACCATATTTTGAATCAATGGGGTCAACTCAGGTCCGAATTATTGTCTTATTTCGCGGACCCTGAATTTCTCGAGTGGCTTATTGCCGACCTCGAAGACAGCGCAGGTACCAATGCAAACTTGGCAGGCGAATGGATCGATAAATCTCTTTCCAGTACGGCATCTAGCAAAATCACAAATCCTAGATCGGCAGCGGCAGCCTTGTGGTCTCCTCTTCCACACATTTATGATTCGCAAGACGAGCAGACGAACAAAATACCTAATGTGCTGAACCGATTACGTTCGCAATTTCTCAAGAACGGAAATAATGGACTGATCTACCGCAATCTTAACACCTGGGCACGCCTTACGGATCGTCTAATCATGTGGATTGAGAGCGGGAAATTCAGTGGTCGCTCAGCCGTATACGATCCGTTCCATACGTTCAAGCTTCCATGCCCTGGACTGTGGAAGTCTTCATGGGACAACTTTCGGTCGGGGACAGCTGTTCATGAAGGTCTGTGGGACACTCCGCAGGGTGTTCTACACGTACTGAAACTATATCGACAGCATTCTAGATTACTTATTCTAACGGAGATAGCAGCGGGATTACTCGGGAAAGGAGAAGCCTGGAGTTGGGAAGATATGTAGCATCGTCGTCAAAATCGGCACACGATTATGTCAAAGGCTGACTGGATATTCTCCGACTGGATAACCTCTGATGACGCATCCTATCGGGCTCCTATTGATTCCCTCGGGTACCAGCTGAGAGCCAGACTATACATGCGGATATGTGGTCTGAGTTGGACTCCGGGAACAGAATTTTCCATCAAGTAGTCCTGCCTTGTATTCCACCGGTAGATCGTCTGTCTTTCGCTACGTCAAATTAATGTTGGAGGCCCAAACCACACTCTGTCCGATGAAGACAGGAAGAAAGCAGTCAGCCTATGAGCTGCTGTTTTACATCGAAGTAGCCACCTAACTTTGGAATCTTTGAGGAGGTTACGAGGCGCAGTCTACGGCAGTGAATTGCTAAGCCACCTCATATGTGCTTACTCCCGACGAAGAGCATACCCGTATCGAAGTGGAGCATCCATGTGGCCAAACACTATTGGTTCCCCTTGTGCCAAAATCAGGCTACGATTGCACTCGTTTAACAGACACATTTCATCCGGCATGGAATCATCGCCTTACCGACTCTAGCTAGCGAATAGTGCCGGAACATTTCCAATTGGTGAGCAGTAATCGGTTGTTCTGGCCGCTCGCGAGAAATTTGCCAGATTGATATCTGGTATCTTCCGTTAAGACGTCTTCGACAATGGGCATGGACAGCCAAGATCAGAGGCAAGACTGCCAAAGAGGGCCCTTGCTACGGCGTCTGACATCTCCGGAGTCCATTCAAAATCTTCAAGAATGTACCGAAAAGGGCTGCTCGTCTTGCCAAGGACTGATCGACATCATTAGACAGACAAAGCCGTGGTGGTTGTCCGAAGCGCGGGAACGCAATCTCTCTATTTCTATCAGGCCACAGCAGAGATGGCTGTTCAACTCAAACCTGTCGTCGCTGCACTCGGGAGGCTCTGGGACCATTCGACTGCTCGAAGGTACGAAGCTGATAGACCACCTACAGCTCTATCGACGCATCACAGGTAGCTGTCGAAGTTCCCGCACTGCCGGATGAGGGAGGTGGTCACTGACGACACGTAAGATGTCGAGAAGCTAGAATCAGGCGACCTGGACAGGTTCGAAAAGATTGCCTTTGGAGAGAGCGTCGAAATAGCGCCTTCATCAGACTCTGACCTGGCGTTCGCCCGAGCCTCACTCTGGTTGCGGAACTGCGTGGAAAGACACCCCGGCTGTCGGCCTGGCAACCCCGATTTCGCCCCCCGCCGACTCTTGAGCATTCAGAGCCCTTCGGCTGACCAAGTCACTCTCGTTGAGTCCTCCAGGATCGGTCCCCTGCGGTATGCGGCATTGAGCTATTGCTGGGGCCCCGACACGAGTGGCGTTAGGACGACGGTGACGTCGAACATGTCATCCCACGCTCGCGGCATCCATGTGTCAGAGTTGCCGCAGACAGTCCAAGACACCATCAAAGTCTGCATCAAGCTGCAAGTCAAGTATCTCTGGGTCGACGCACTGTGTATCATCCAAGACGACGGCGCCGACTGGAACGTCGAATCCGCAAGGATGATGGACATCTACGCGAACTCCTTCTTCACCATCACCGCGAGAGAACCGAGCTCGTGCAAGATTGGGTTTCTCGGGCGGCAGCAGCTGGGAAGCACGGAATGGCAGAGACCCATCTGCGCCCGCGTGCCGCCCGGCCTGGGTCCTTCTGGAGACCGCTTCTTCGTCAGGGACGGCGAGGTCGAGCAGTTCCAGGTCTTCTCCCTGGACTCCCGCGGCTGGTGTCTGCAGGAGAACATCCTCCCGCAACGGAGACTGGTCTTTGACGGCCGGGAAATGGCGTGGCACTGCCGCGAGAGAAACATGTGCGAGTGCGGCCATCTCGACGAGGACGTCGATGTCGGCGATGAACCGCTGATGTCGGGCTCGATTGACGGACCGACAAACCTCCTGGAAGTCTCTCAGCTCCACCGGGAATGGATGAAGCTCGTCGAGCTATATTCGCGACGCTTCCTGACGAGATCCAGCGACAAGCTGGTCGCCTTGTCAGGCTTGGCGAGATTGTTCCAGCAGAAGCTCACCCGCGCGAAGGCCCTGTCCCAAGACGAACACATCATTGCCATATTTGACGAGAAGACGCTGGTGACATCGGTTCCCCCCATGGCGCCCGGCCTCCCCGCATCCTATTACGCGGGAATCTGGAGAGAAAGCTTCGTCCTTGGCCTTGCCTGGACGGTCGAGTATCCCCTCCTGAGCAAGACGGGTCATGCCAATCACTCAAAGTACAAGGAATATTGTGCGCCGAGCTGGTCGTGGGCTTCGGTGGACGGTCCCGTAGTCTTCCGACACATGGAAGTCACCGCCGGCAGGTACACAGAGGGTGACAACCCGCAGTTGAGTTGCGACATAAAGGTGAGGGGCATCACGTGCATCCCGAGAAACGTTGCAAATCCCACAGGCGGAGTCATGGAGTCAGCGTCGGTGGTTCTCTCTGGCCTCTTGGCCCCGGTGGACCTGGCTACGCTTCATGTCAAGGATGACACAGCGCTCTGGAACTATACGTGGTACAATCAAATGCAATCACCAGGAGATGAAAAAGGGAGATATAGGGTGACATCCTTCGCCCGCACGCGGAGGAGGCAGAGCTGGCGGGTGCTCCTGGACGTCGAGCGGCGTCCAACAGTAGAGGAGGGGAGCTCACATGCCTCCTGCTGGATGTCCACGATAGGGCCGGAGGGTGATTCGGATTGCTGCCCGGAGGGCGATTCGGATTACTGCCGGTGGGACGAGAAGACGCACTATGCGTGCCTGCGGCTGTATACATTCCAGAAGGACAAGCTACACATAAGAGAGGAGGAACACAAATGGCTTGGGGTGCAGTCGATTATCGGGTTTCTAGTGTTGAGGAGGGTGGCCGGCGCGAGGGATACTTATGAGAGGATTGGCTTTGGGATCTGGGATGACTTTGACGGGTTCCAGGAGGGACGTGGGGAATTCGAACTGTTTTCTGATGCGAAGGAGGAGACGATCAAACTGGTCTAAGGGTGTGATATTGCATAGGGCCACTTTGAGACTACCTTGTGATATCTACAATTCCCCGCTCCGAAGGATCAACAACTTCAGCGTTCACGTAATTGGTCGTAAAGGGCACCATCGACCCAAAGTCCTCCACCCTGTCCAGAAAAGCCTCCAAGGCCTGGAATGACACACACAGCGCGTCGCGCCCAACAAAGTGCCCGGCCATCAGCGTCTCTAAGTACGTCAACCCGCGCTCGGCAACTAGCCTGGCGGGCTGTCCCTTCAGTGCACGCATCTGACAGAATAAGTTGAGATATCTTTATGCTTACGGGTCGGGCAGTACTCTCCTGGGCTTGCAGTCGTGGTCCACGGTGATTACAATTTCTATCATTAAAGTGACACACATGACGATTCCCAGTAAAGAGCTTACATGGAGCAGTGCCCAGCAATGTCAGTGGATCTGCTTACGTGCTGAATTCCTTAGACTGACTCCTCCTAAACACATCTACCTTCATGATTAAAACTATCAGATTGAATCGTAATAACCATTGACCTTACGCAATAAAAAAGCTCTTAGGAGCCATCAAGTTGACCATGGTCATCTACGCTCCCCTCGACGCGGCTGAACACGAGATTAGGCTCGTCAGGCTTCTTGAACCCCTGGCTGAGCACGCCGAAAGACCCATGGGTGCTCTCGCGTTGGAGCTTCAGACCGTGCCGCTGGACGACGGCATGTCTTACGCGGCCCTGTCGTACGTCTGGGGAGACCAGGTAGACACTATGAAGATTGAGATTAACGGATGTCCGTCCGTCATTACCCGGAGTCTACACAGCGCCCTGGATTAGTTCCAACAACGGTGTGTGGCCATGGCTCTGGATCGACGCTGTGTGCATTGAACAATCTGAGAAGAACCACCAGGTTAGGTTGATGGGGGACATCTACAACGGTGCCGAGGTAGTCTAAATGTGGCTCGGTCTCGGTACTGAGGACACTAATATGGTCATGGACCTGGTCTCTAGGTTCGGGCTTCAAACCTAGATTTGAATACATTGGCCGAAGAGGCCATCAATATTCACAACCACTGTGAGGTCTTACTTCAATATCCATCCCTTGGAACCTTCCACTAAGGCTCAACCACCAACCTGAGCCCAAACTCATTCAGCCTCCGCGTTCCGACTCACCCAGACATGCTTTACCCTAGGTTACCTCTTTCTCAGAAAGTTCTACAAATCACCCTTACCGCACGCAGAAGAACCCCGCATGTTCAGCTCGACGCTCAAATACCGCGTTAAAGACCACTTAGTCATGAAGATGAGATGACTCGTCGGACCAGGTCAGCACGAGCTCCAAAAAGCGGCGAAAATGCCCATAGGCGGGCGCTGGCACGTCGACGAATTCAGCCACAAGCACCTCTGAAAAGGTGGCGCTAGCGGACGTCCGTCAGGCACGGTTTTCGAGTGTCGCTGGTGTTGGGAAGCAGCTTGTTGCTCTGGGCGCCCGGGTTGTGGCTAGAGAGACGGTGAAGCTGAAATTGAGGAGCCGACTGAGTTTGACAAAAACAAGAAGAAAACTTTACCGTCGTAGAGCTGGAGTTCTGCGGATTGCTTTCCACAGATGCTGCATAGGCGGTCGAAGAATACGTTTATGGTACAGCCGACTTTTACGCTGCTGATTGCGGATGTGTCTAGGTGTGTAGTGGGTCTCGTGAAAGGACTGGGGTTTCCATGGGATAAGCTGTGGAGGGCTATCGAGGATCCTGTGATCATGACGAAGTGCAGTTAAAGGAGATCTCCGTGGTGATTAAAGTCACCATGTATTCATTTAGTTGGGTAACGTGGATACTCCGCACTGAGCAGGAGTTGACATATTTCATGGATCAGGAACATGACTGGTAGGATGACACCAAGCGTACGTCTGAATTCAATATTGCAATTCCGGCCAAGGACCGCATCCTGAATCTATGGAACATTCAGAGAGTCCCTTGGCAGACCATCCTCGCTATCCATTCCCCTTACGATGTGGGCTATTCTAAGCCGCTTCATCCTGAATGCTCCTGTATGTCATCTGTCACTCCTCAAAGCCCACGCAATGTTGTTTGTGGAGTCCCAAATCCTTGTCGCTTCTATCTCACTTAGTCCGACTCAATTTCCGCGTTCTCGATTGTGGCCGTCATCTGCTCTCCGATATTGTCTACGTCAATGTCTTCAGCTCCGCCTTCAACATTGGAGCCGTTGTTGTCTGCCATCTCAGTTATCTCGGCGGCGGCGGCCTTGGATGCAGCCTGAATTCTCTTTCTCTCCTTGAACTTCTCAATAATAGCCACAGCCTTATCAGCAGCTGTCCTGGTGGCGTAACCAGTTCGATGAGCGTACGGGAGCTCGAATGCAGCATTAGAGACCGCTCTGATGCCCAATTGAAGAGACTTGGCCTCGGTAAGAATGCCGTCGCGGATGCCCGCGTCCATCTTCGTTTTAGTCTCCAACTCATTCACAGCGTCGATGAACGTCATGGTCATGTGTTGGAGCGTTACGGTGCGGCTCGTCAAAAGGTTGAAGGCGGCCTTGGAGATGTAGCAGTGATCATCATCTTCGAGAGTCTCTTTTCCAGGCACACCAAGGGATGGCTCAAGGTTTTCGACAGATTGGGCGCTAATGTCAGAATTGATGTTATTCTCGATGAGCTCTTCGGGAATGTCGTAAGTCTGGCCAGCGAACACGCTTTGCTTGTGCGATGTACTAAGCATTGGATTGTCCTCTGAGTCGCTATCATCAGCCTCAACGGCAGCAAGAGGCTCTTCCTCTCCACTATCTTTGACAGAAGACGTATTGGAATTCTTGAGTGCTAGAGTAGTAGCCTTCCTGTCGATGTAGGCCGTTGAGGTTTTCACAAACGGGTGAGTGGGCCTATTGGATTGGAGTACAGCTGCGAGAAGGGTTGGAGTTATCGGTTTTGGGCCACCCTTCTTTTGATATTTGCTGTTTAGGCCGGAGAGGAACTTGATTCTGCGCTTCTTGGTAGCTTTTGAAGACTCTGGCATATTCTCTGCTATTCTCGATCTCTTTCTCTTCTTCTTCTCGATAGGGAAGGCATCGGTTGTAGATTCAGACGTCGACTTCTGCGACTGAAGCAAGGGCGGGACATCCATGGTTGTAGCGTCGGGCGATGAGGAAATTTGGATGATTGGATTATCGGTCATTTTGAGCAGTGCGTCGAAATAGTTGAAAGAGCCTTGGTAGTTGGTATTGTCTAGAAACGTAAGTCTTAAAAACCTGAAGTGTGAGGAATAATTATAGAAAGTAAGGAGGATACGTACCTATTTTGTGATCTCGAAAGCTGCAAGCAAAGCTGGAATTATTTGAAGCGATGGAGCGAGGGAAGTAAAGCAGCTGATGAGAAGGGAAAGAAAAGGTCTCGGTATGTTTTAGGCACGGCAAGAGTCAGCCTGCGGAAGGTACAAATCCTTTCGAATCGGTTGGTAAAATAACCGTGATAGCTGACCAACTGAATGGTTGACGTATTCTGATGAGTAACTAAACCTGATATGATTGAGTGAGGTAAGAAAATGAAAGATATGAAAGACGTGGGCGGATTTGACTTGATGATCATGCATATATATGACCCGATCATGTGATCCACAGGAGCGAGGTATGGGAAGGACCAGGTATCTCATCATTGCTTCTGGCGGAAGGTGCAGATGCCTAACCAGGGAGAAAGGTTCTTTCCTTCTATGTCGTAATGGAATAGGGCTTATTGAGACTGCGTGGAATGATGCTGCTGCAATGTGTGAAGTCCCGGTGAGCCTCTATTTTCATCTTCTCCAGTTCAACAAGGAAATACACGAGCAATGTCGGCCACTGGAATCAATTCAGATACGTGTTGCTACCGGTTAAGTTCACCATTGCAACGCTCAAGAGCTTTCGTAGAAATCAAGACCTTATGCTTCAGCAATAAAGTATGGTGATACCTATCCGTCGATGCGCAGAGTCGGAGGCCAATCTCTGAGAAGGCTACCGGCTGCGATGTGCTGGCAATCCATGTGGCATCCCCTAATTACTCGTTCCCAAAGCTTCCCATGACCGTTTTCTCGTCTCTATCCATATTGCACTACACCACCGGATTCTTGCCCCTCTCCATCGCCACCGCTGTATCGTGAATCTCCTCCAAGCTCATGTCAATGATGCGGGCTTGAATCGACTCCCCATCCAGTGAATCCTCCGTATCCTTTATCCAGCTGCTCGAGAGTTCCTGCGCCGCCTTGATTCGTGCCATATGAATATTGAATGCCGACTTGGAGATCGTCAACTTGTCATTCTCCTCCGCCTCTCTCGCCCTTTCGTGCTCCTCTTTCAGCCGAGTTTGCTCGCGGAGACGACGGAGAGCAAGGGCTCGCGCGACCACTTTGACGGCTTCGGCTCGCTTCTCGGGAGCGATATTTTCAACGATATACGTCGCGACTTCCTTGGCCTTGTCTCCTGGTTGTTCGTCTTCCTCTTCTTGTGGCATGGCGAAGTCGAAGTGACGGCGGGGAGTTGGTTGGCGTGAGTTGAGCGACGGCTGGCTGGCCAGGGTCGAAGATGCGTCCATCTCGGAGAGGACTCTTGAAGGTTCCATTGTTTTGTCGCTCATGTTGTCGGACAAGGGATCCTGCGACGAGCTGGAAGATGAGTGGTGGACTTTGTCGGCCATTGTTCTTGCCTTGCTTCTTAGACCTGGTCAATTGATGGGCGGCCTTTGGAAGGGGATATTGATGTGGCTTTGAATGCTGATGAAGTCAGTGATTGAAAGGAAATCTTTTCTGTGGCTTAATCAGCTGAAATCCATGTGATGAGCGGGAGAGAACGGCATGAAATCTTTTCCTTGTTGGAGGCAGGAGGCATCAGCCCGTGAAGTGAGAAAATTGGCAAAGTGCTTGAGGAAAAATCCTGCGACTTGTGAACGTGCCCACTCAGCGCTGGGACTTTGAGAGTCTGACTCTGGACTCATCAAAGAGAAGTACGATCATCAGGTGGAAGTCGAGAGACATCACTAAGGCTGCATTGTTAATGCTCACTCAGGGACAATTGTTATGTTAGCAATTCTTTTTATTCTCGTGTTTCCTTCATCTAGGAAACCTTTTGATGCCTACCACAAAGCTCGCCCTGAGGAGCTAAGTTGGGTAAATATATATCTCAAAGCCTTTCGTTGAGCCTATCAACAAATAGTCAGTTGAAGTTCAAATGACGAAGATGTAGTGGGGGCCTACTATCTGAACCTGCTGAACCTGCTGCCGTCTGGACGCTTGTCCTAGTCACCATATAGAGTTCATCCCATTTGATTCATCTAATCCTCATTGGCCTCTCCATTGTCGGACTGCGCATCCGGCATATTCTCATCCTCATCCTCATCCTCTTCCTCATTCTCATCTCCAGGTTCTTGAGCTTCATCGGATCCATTGGCAGCGTCTGGAGCAGCTTGAGCAGCTTGAGCAGCTTGAATTGCCTGCATGGCACGCTGTCTCTCCTTACGGACATCGCCGAGGGTCGGAATTCCATGCTTCTTCTTCTTGTGCTGTTCCATCTTTATTAGATTTCACTAGGTGTCAATTGGTGCTTGGATGAACTGACCCTGTAGAGAGTACACGCGGACGTGTACATCTTTGCTTGGTTGCATATATCGCAGCCGTACATGTTTGGACCTCGCTTTCGGTCCCGGCGCCTTCCAGATGCAGCAGCATTGCTAGCTTGGGTGCTAGTGGCCGCAGAAACAGCGGCAGTTGCAAGGATGACAGCCTGGGTGGGACCGATTCCACCTGGTCCGATGGGAGTGCCCAAATCAGCCTGAGGCTGGGCAGAGCCAATGTTGTTGTTGGTGTAGCTATAGCCAAAGCCAGTAAGGTCGAAGCTGTTAGGATCGAGTCCCATTCGACGGAGTTGCTCCTCAATAGAGTCGTCCTCATCTTGGGAGGTGACATGGTAGGGCTCTGGAAAGGGAGTTTGACCATGCTCGAGGCGATCAGCGACACGGGCCCAAGCCATTCTTGTGCGGCTGATGAGCATGTCGAGATTGAAGTTCCGAGTGCTCTGTTCTCTGAGAATAGCCAGAGTGAAGCTTCGCTCAAGGCTACGGGTGGCTCGAGGGAGATCCTGGTTGCCATTCTGGAAGCGCTGCTGGATAGATCGCAGTGCGTTCACTGAAGCACGGATGATTTCCTCATTGCTTGCACCTGTAGACGCCTGTTCTTCGTGTACGGCAAGTGCAAGGTTGACCTCCAGCAGGAAAGACATGATTCTAGAATAGTCCGTTAGCTGAGATGAAGGGAGGTGGGATGGATGATATAAAGGGACGAGAAAACACACGCATCTGGTCTGTTCGTTTGTGGATGTGAAAATAATACCAGCAACTATACCAGAAAACGAGAGGTGAAGGTTGAAGAAATAATTTCCTGCTGGGCCCGAGAAGTGGGAGTTTTACACACGCAAAGTAGCTCGCGCCGCCCGCGAATTTAGAAAGAGAAAAGGAAAAAGAGACCAATCATCATTCAAAATTGGGAAATGAACTAGGCGTTCTTCTCTGATTATTCATAAGACTTCAGAGCATATTACATGAGATGGTCCTTGTACTTGAAAACCTGGCAAATAGCGATAAGAATATGGACGCGGGTAATAACTACTTATTGTGAAACAATGTAACACCACATTATGTCCTTGTATGAAAAAGAGGCGCTCACGCGAGTGATGCTTCCAAGAGTTTGACAATGTAGTCCCCGAAGTGCGAAGATATTAGCAAGTACTAGTGAAATGGGACGGTAGGGGCTGATCGAAGGGCCTTGTTCACGCTGCTCAGGTGGGCGGGTGAATAGAGGAGGCTGGCTTTCCGATCCAAAGCGCCATGTTCTCGTTGGCTTCATGCATTGGGCTGCCATATAATTGGCCCACACCATGCGTCCACGTATTTTTATGGATGAAAAAGGGCCCGGCGTTTTTTCGTTAGGAACCGAGGCTTACGCAGGCCAAAGTGGAAGATCAGTTTTTTACAAAGTAAGGTCCATGACACGAGATATAAGGGGAGTCCCTTGACCAGACTCTGAAACTCGCCATCATGGCTAGCTTATGCCTTTTCAATGAAGGGTAGATGCGATTGATTATCAGAAGACAGCCAACCGTGAGAGCTCTGAGATTGTTTCAATCTCCTCCAGAATGTTGTTTCTTGGCTTGGTGATTGGTGAATTGGGATCTCCGGAAAGAGAGGGGTATCACAGGAGAGATATTCCGTGATATTTGACCTCCTGTATAGTCCGCTTGTATGAAGAGAGCAGAGGCGTGTCGGGCGGTCTATGTTCCAATAACTCTAGTCTCATATGAAAACCATCATTTCTCCATTGAGTGTAGACCTTGTAGTGTACCCCTTGGCCTGGTTGCAGACAACGCACTCGTAAATGTAGGAATAGTGTTTTCGGTTACGACGCTTGCCAGCAGGGCCCGAGATATTGCAAAATGATGGATAGATCGATGAGTATAGGAGAAAGTTTTATAATGAGAGTCGGATAAGGGCACCACCGTTTGGGATAGGAAGTTTCAATGGCCAAATAGGAGACAGTCGTGAGCAATTCTTATCTAAGAATAGGACGTGAGTAATCAATGTACTGTGAACCTGACAAGCATGGCAATAACTCTGTAACTCCGCTGAGCTTTGTTCAAAGAGAGAATGAACAGTGTGTTGCAAAAGGTTTAGTTAGCCCTGCGTTTCGTGTTCTTCACCACCACCATGGTGGCCATGATCCTTGTCAACCTCTTCTTCTTCCGAAGTTTCGTCATCATATTCTTCATCCTCTGTCATCTCGCTGTCATCCAAGACTTCCTCTTCAACCTCTTCTTGCGCCGCGGCAGTGTCCTGGCTCTTCTGGCGCTCCTCTAGACGCCTACGGTCGATTGGACGAAGCAATCCGTGTGCGTCTCTTTTATGCTATAATATAGAAAGTCAGTCTGTGATCAGAAATTCAAACAGGTGTGAACTTACGATATCAAGGGTGGACTTGCAAGTGTAGTCCTTTCCGCAGTCTCCAACGTCGCACACCCACATGCCATCACCCCTATCCTTCCGTCCTTTCTGCGTTGTCTTGATGGCCTTCGTCTTGACGGAGGTAGAAGAGGCAGAAGAGTCTGATTCAATGTCTTCTGCATAATCCTCTGCCCACTCCCCGTGAATGCAGTTGTCAGGGTACTCACCGACGCACAATTCCGCAGGAGGAAACGTAGGCCTGGGGCCGAATAGGACATTGATAGATTCATCAGAGCTGCGGATCCCCAGGGAGAGAGGGGGAGGTGGTAGAATACATTCGCCACGGATCAGGCGTCTGCGAAGTTTGAGCCAGACATCTTGGGCCGAGGCCACCAGAGTGTCGACATCTACCCCAGAGGTGAGTTGCTCGCTGAGCATCGGAAGAGTGAAGGCAATCTCGAGGGTGTCGGCTTCATCGTCAGGAAGGGATGAGTCACCGTCGAGGAGACGACTGCTGACGTCCCATAGCGCCCAGTCTGCTCTGTAAATGATCTTGCTGGTAGTTGACGTTTGAGGGTCGTGCTCTCCCAAGATCGCAAGAGCGAAGGTGTTCTCAAGGTGGAAAGACATTTGATGTTTGTTGATTACGTGAGTAATAGCTGATGGTTCTATGAGTAGGCAAGTTATTAGTGTTGTAGACGTCAATTACCTCAAGTGATGCACCTACACTTATAATACTATCAGTACTTTTAAAAGTAGAAGAATGTCTTTGTTGATATGTGGTGGGAACAAGAAAGGAAGAATGCCTTTGTGAACGCGAAGTGGGCATCAAAGAATAGAAAGACCTCGTTGAGATTTCTCCATGCTGCCAAGTTGATTGTTCGTGGTTGTGTGAAGGCTGGAACAAAATTGAAGTTCCGAAAGGAGGGATGTCCAGTGTTTCAATCACTGTTTTGGTATGGCGAAGATGGTCTGACCCTTGTTGGTACCGAGGCGGACTTCTAGCCAGACAAAACTGGCCATCGATCGGCAGGACTTCGGCCGAGAAGGCGTTGCCCGAAGGTCTCATCTCAGACAGGCTGCCGAGGACGAAGCCTTCGGGAAGCTGAGGAGGCGGTTCAGAGCATATGGATCAGCTCAGTACGTCCTATCTCAGTTTCAAATTGTATCTTGGTACCGTCTCTGAAAGAGGTCGTGTGAAGGTCAATAACTGACGGTCTGAAAAAATGGAACGAATTTGGTATTGCGCATGGCGAGCCGATTCTCTGTCTGGTCTCTTGTGTGTGTGTATCTGAATAGAGAAGCCTACCTACTTAGGTAAGGTAGCTACTACGTGGGGAGATGTCAGGGTGTACCTAGCTGGCAGAGCGGAGCCTGCTGACCAATCCCACGTGATAGGTCGAGGAGCTCCTCCTAGTTGCCTTTCTCTTCAAGGTTCCAGAATACGTTAACCAAAAGGTTGGTATAGTCGGGCGACTTCTTAATTACGGAAGATTTTCAGCTCTAGTCCATCACCGGAATTCTCGCTGGATTGTTTCAGTTCGATGAGTTTGCCAAATTGACTGTACTCAGAACATGTACGCCTTCTTCTCAGCCCAGAGAAACTCAAAACCGATGAGTGACACCGAAGGCGTACTAATAACCTTCCATCTATCTATATCATCCTCGTCGTTCAGTTAGTCCTGGAAGCCCCTTAGTTTGGGGAAGCCGTGTGCATCAATCTTAGTCCGACTTGGCGCGTAGCGAGACAAGTCTATTACAAGTTAGTCACATCAGGTACAATTCTGTAGGGCCCAACTCACATTGACTGATGACGACCCCCGACGAAAGACGAATGGCCATCATCTCTGTTTCTATCGACCTTCACCCGACCGACTAATTGAGTGGCGGCCAATGCTTAAGCTCGATAGATGCCGACTATAACCGGTTCCGTCGGACCCGGGGACGACGTCTTCGAACAAAGGTACTGTAAAAAGACAACAAAAATTACTTCTAGCTGGAAAAATAGACTATTGATATGTCACACGATTCCGTGTTTGACTGTCAAATGACAAGAGACAACAAACGAACTTTCCGCTTTCATATTCAAGTATTCTCCGCGGGCACAATGTATATTCCATTTGATTTCCATCACCCAGGGCCTAATTTCGATGAAGAAGTCGTGCAGGCGTGGATAGAAGGCTAAGAATCAGTGAAAGCCAACGAGAGTAAGCCCCAAGCGACTTCTTTGGCGGCGCAAAGTATGCAAGGCCTGAGCTGATCGGCGGTCTTCGAAGTCAATCAGAACTAAGAGAGTCACTGATGCATAGTCTAGCGATAAGAGAGTTTCGAGCTTGTCAAGAAACGATAAGGATTCAACAGAATGTACTTAGAGCATGGAACTTGAGCAATATTCTTATTTGCCTGCAGATCATCCATGATTATGGTTATCCTTCATACTGCTGGTAAGATACAGAGAAACAGCACTGGGCTAGGGCTCAGATTTCCTCAATGAAAACGTAGCAGGGTTTTGATGTAAATGAAAGCCATAAGAAACAATGAGACCTTCGAATTCTACTCGGCTGATGCTTCCCCGCTGAGTGTAGCCCCGGACCACGATCAAATCATTCATGTTCCAACGCTTCATACCCAGCTGGGTCGAGCTCTTTGTCCCGGATTTTCCGACCTGGTAAGGATCGAGCAAGTCCTGTAGCGGAATCAATGTATTCTCCAGCTCGAGGTCCATCTCCCGCGACCTGATTTCGATGACGAGGTCGGCCACAGGCCGAATGGATGGCGGTGGGTTGAGCACATCTCCTGCCTCTAAGTAACGGCTGCGACGGAGTCAATTGAGACTGAGGGGCAAGAAGTGATAAATGAATGTCTAAGGTAAGCTGAATACGATGAAAATATAAATTGAAGAATAACACCCGCATTCATTTTATGGCATTCAACAAATGTACCCTCAATCCAAGTAAATAGAACACAAGCAAGATATTGGTTCAGTAGGGCAAGCAAAACCAGCTTACTTGGAGGAACTCGCAAAATTAGAGAATATCTTCATCCTCCATGTCAACATCCATCTGATCCTCCTGAGAGGCGGATTCAGAGGGGCCTGCCTGCTGGTTCTGAGTTGCAGATCCAGAAGGACCAGCCTGGTTATCCTGAGGAGCGTTAGAGGGGCCAGCCTGCTGCGCCTGTTCGCTACTCGAGGCATTAGCGGTGGCAGCCCGTCTAGGTCGCGAGGCTCTCTTCGGCGGCGCAGCCATGCCATGCTTCGCCACCATGTGCTATTGTAAGCTGTGATTAGCATCTCAAGTCAAGAAAGAATAAATGAAAGCGTTAACTCACTTCAATGACAGTGTACCGGCGGGTGTAAGAACAGGCGCAGCCGGCGTACTCGCAAGGCCACAGGTTCGCTCCCTCGTCGCTGTCCTTTCTCGGTAGTCCCGTGTACGGGTTCATGAAAACGCCGGGCTGGGCTGCAGGAGCAACCGCGACAGGAGCACTGGAGCTACTAGGGGCCGTAGGCTGGGGAGTTGCACTAGCTAGGAGGGGCATGGTGATCTGGTTGCCTGGCTGGGCGGGGACAGGATTGCTGGCGTTCACAGCATTTTCGCCAGGTGCAGTTGTAAGATCGATGGGCGCGGGACCCGGGGTATCGGGGAGGACTGGAGAGTACGGTTCGGTGAAAGGCTCAATTTCACCGCTCTCGGCTGCTTGTTGGCGGATATGGTTGAGAGCCTGGAACACTTGTTCGAAGATCTCATCGTATGACATGCCGGTCGCGGCGCGCAGGCCGCGGATGCCAGCGGCGAGGTAAGTCTCAATGGAGAAAGACATGGTATAAGTAGAAATCAAGAGATAATGAACACAAGTGAGGGTTTCAAATTGAAAGAATGCCACGGATTTCGAGGCAAACAGAAGCCGACTTACTAGAAATTAAAATCCACGGTGAAATGGGAAATGTTTTGGAGTGCGAAGTTGAATTAGCCTACCAGAGGCAGATCGTTTGCTTGGTACTGACAAGTTTGATAGGGTGTATGTACTCGAGGAATTGCTTGCGCTTTACAGATGATATAAGATGGGACTTTCGGTTGGTGTTGAGTGGAATGAAGAAGTGGATGACAAAACCTGACCTGATCGTGTGGTGAGTACCGCGATATTTATCAATCTCTCGACTGACTTCCCGGTGAAGTGGTTGGGCCCAGACAAGCGTGAGCTTCGACGACGTTGAACCGAAGCAAGGACTTGAATTCTTTGAGGATGGTGGATTGGTCTTTGAACCTGGTTCGAATCATCCGAACTGAGAATAAGGGAAACGAGAAACAAGTGATCATGGTAGTCGAAGCGTCACACAACGGCGTAGAAGAATTATGCGGACAAAACCAAATTCTTTGTGGAAAAGTTGAAGTAACAGACACGAACAATGACAGGCCATAGCCAGCACATTAGTCTACGAAAGCAACAAAAAAAAAAAAAGAGCTCGAATTAGAAAGCCTTATTTTTGAGTCCCTCACAGAGCGGTGGCCGCGAGGTCAGCCAGTGAATTAATATGGTTGAGAGGTATGCGAACTCTGAGAATGCTCAAAGTGAAAAGCGTTCAAGAGGTCTAGTGGCCCGGTCAGTTTGACTGCCTTTGGGCAAAGTCGCGTGTGTCTGAATCTGTCGTTTATGTGTATGTGATGAGGGAAGGAATTACAACGGAAGAAGGAGTTGGTAGGTGTAACGGGGCTGATCACGCTGATTAATCCAAATTCTACGCGCAGGGTCGGTGATGAATCCCTGACCACTTGTTCAGACGGTGTCGTGGATGGTGATATCTGCTTCAGCACCCATGGTGTCATCGACTGTGCAGAAACAAAATCGTTCCTTCATGACGTCGTTGGGGTGGGAGGTCTTTTAGAGATCGATATTTTGTAATGTCAACGGCCCCGGGTGGTTGATCATTACCAGTATTACAACTGGGAAACTTATGAAACAAGAGAGGAAATTGAGAAACGGCACGTATAAAAACAAGAAGTAACTTTGTTTCCCAATCAATGACCTATAATGAGCATGAGGAGGTGGGTTATAATGCGTGCTTATGCAATGCGAGCGACATTTCAGTCTCGACTGACATATTCGTGGCGCGTTTACCACTCTTCCAACCCATCACTTCTCCTCGAATGCTCGCATCGAATTTGCAGCACCCTACTTTGTCTTGGAGACGAGAGACTCTGATATCATGATCAAGGACGTCGACCGCCATGGTTGATCTTGTAGTGCTATACCAAATCAGTCAAACAAGTTTCTCTCAGTTCCAAAAGACAGAGACATACGCGGGTGCGAGAGCCCTTGTGCTCATAAGAGCGGCCACAGCCGGCAAACTCACAAACGAATTCGTCTGCGTTGTTCTGTTCATTGTCCTCGGCGACAGTTGGGGTTGGGGAGACGCTCTCACGGGCGGCCCTTTTGCGGGCAGAAGCCATGGCTAGAGGGAGAGCGGTGCGTAAGACGCGACGCGGAGCCGGAACAGAGGTGCTATCAGGAGCGGTAGACGGGGTGGCATCTTGAGCAGGAGCAGGTTGAGAAGCCAGAGCAGGAGCGGGAGTATTTAGCTGAGCAATGAAGGGGACGACCGAGACTGGGGCTGGGGCGGCTGGCTGAAGGGGCTCTGCAGGCTCGGCTTGTTCCAGCATCTTCTGTGAGATCTTGAGTGCCGCGCGCAAGACTTCATCGAAAGGCTTCGCTGCGTCGGTAGAGCACTTCTCGAGCGCTGTCATGACGCTTTGTTCCAGAGAGGGTGCCATTCTATGAAAAATGTTAGAACGGTATCTGACTGTTACCAAGACACGGACTGACATGCGTGGATGAGGTCGCTGCAAGTCGAAAGTGATTTGAAATAGCTAGAGGAGGATGTGAGACTTTGAGGATTGATTGCTTTGAGTTGTGACGGTGGGGGCGGAAGGAAAGAGACGGGAAGTCTGGTCTGGACAAACAAGATTGCGGAGAGCAGTAAACAGAATACACGGTTTGGATGGTGGTGTTGACGGGAAGGAGCGATCTGATGAGGTTTCGAAGTCGATGGACCGATGCCGCAGGGAAGATATGGTCAGTTCACATCTGAAAGCTTGCATTGAGGCATAGCCTGGGTTTGAGAAACCTCTGGGGTCAAGGAAGGAGCGTGTGGGAGAGAAAGAGCCATCAAAGATGCATCAAGAAACATGAAGAGTCGAGGACCACAGATATATGTCTCGCGATCAAATTAGCCTGTCTCGTGGCACTGGTAAGGCCAAGACCATACTAGGTGAACTAAAGCTTAAATAGTTGCGCTGACTGAGGTTGCATGGAGGATGGGTGATGTAGGACGTAGCATAGAAGTTACAGAGAGTGAAATATGGCTGACTAGCGTCTGATATTACGCTGCACAAAATACTGGATACGAGGATTGGCTGTATCCTAGAGAAGCTAAGTGTGATGGCAAGCTAACAATCTAAAAAGAATAGAATAAATATATTACCTAAAGACAAGCTAACTGTCTGTCTGTCTGGTCTCTCTATGCGTGTGTGTGTCGTCAATAACCGTTGACAAATCCTGTCCTCCGATTCCGAGTGAAAGGCAGAGACAAAGTCAAAGCAATCCCCACTAAAACTCCGGTTCATGATATTAACAACATTGAGACCGGGCAGGTTTTGCCATACGCCCCAAGCCTCAGCCTTGGAAGTATGAGCATATAGGTGGTCCAGATACGAATCGCCAGGTTCCCGAGATTAAATTGACGTCTTCGCTACTCAGTCGAGGGCGAGCTATGAGGGGGTCGAGAAGGGCCCGAACCAGAAGGAATTTTTGTCCAGATCAGGGATGCAGTCTATGTGATGTCGACGTTGTTCAAAAGTATCATTGATTCTTCAACGAGCTCATCCGATCAAACCGCCGCTGGGTTTTTGTTCTTCGTTGCTATCCACGGCCATGAGAAGATATCCATAACGGTGTCTGAAGGAGTCTGGGTCCATTTCAGCGGCGAGAGACTCCAAGTCGTTATTGGGCGAGAATAAGACCGCCCAATGCCAAATGTGTCGCAGGCTCCATTTTAGGAGCTGTGGTCGATGCTCGGTTGTACACATGTAGATTGTAGAGTTGATTCCAGTGAAGTTAAGCACCGTTCATCTGTGATCGCAAGAACCTTCAATTTCCTGAGACATTGCATGTCTTTGGATATTGACCGAACATCAGTTGAGTGTTCATCTCAACTTGCTTGTAGTACCCGCTGAAGTGGGATGGAGAATATAGCTGTGATATCGTAAGCCAGTCTTCTGCTCATAGTGTGATTAGCCACCAATCCGCGGTATACCAGATTGCATTATTTGGGATATTCACCGGGAAGTCTTGATACCAGACGAGACCATCTATTCCAATGCGGGGATATCCCTGATGACTTTGAGGCAATTTCTTTTAGTAATTCCATATGACAGAGAAGAAGTCACCGGTCTAAGTTAGATGCTATAGAAGGGGGGGATATTGGGACCGTTGTACTCAGGGCCCGGGGGCGGGAAGTTCAAGATCTGAGGTAAAGGATTTCGGTTGACTTTGTTGTTGCCATGGGATTGATGGGAGCTCAAGGAAGTGGGAAATATAATTTTTTTTGGCGAGACAATTTCCCTATCTCTTTGTATTAATGTAAGCCATAATTACGGGTATCCGTCATGATGCGGCTGCAATATTTTGTGATGCTCCACCGAGGGCCCTGACATGGCTTCATCAGACCTCAGAAGGTTTTCCCGAAGCCAATCCTCGGCCACGTCATAATTTGAACAAGAAGACGCGAAGAGCAGTGCTCAAAAAGGTTTGGTGGGAACTGGTATTTCATCATGTCAAGGGGCTCAAAGAGGTGTCGGACTGTAAGACTCTGTCGAGTAATTGCCATGCAAGCGAATCTGGGAGTCTACTCTGTTCAAGCTCTTCTGTCTTTGGTCACTGAGACTTGATTGATCTTCGCTCGTCGGAGGGCTTCATCTTCGGTCTGAGAGATCTAGCTGTGACGCTTTCGCATGTGCTATGAACAAGTCAGCTCGGTTCGTGATGTGTGTAATTAGGTTGCTGACTCTGTTGAGAGTTCTCTGTCGGCTGTAAGGATGGCCGCACTGGGCGCAACTGAACAGCGTCTGGCTGGGACTGTGATTGCGAGGAAGAGGATGGACATTGACGCCCGGGCTAGGCGCAACAGTGTGCAGGATTGAAGCCTGAGGAGAGGGAGAAAAGCCCTGGTTGGAACGAACCGCCAGGCTGGAAACTTCGGCACTTGAATCGTTGAGTATTTGAGCTAAGGAAATAATCAGCATTGAGTAATTTCATGGCGGCGAGGAGGAGTACTACCTGGGCTGGCTGTGCCCGAGGATTGGTCTTGGACCTGAGCCTCGGCCCGGATTTGACGACCTTCCGTAGAAGAAGAGACCACTTCAGAAGTGTTCGAGGAGGCGAGGGCCGCCTTTACGATGCTGTCGAAGAGCAAGCCAACAAGCTCCCGCCGGAGGTCGTCGCGGTCGGCACCCATGAGGCGTCGGGTCACCTCTCCCCGAGTCAGACCTATGGCAGCCGCCACGTTGTCAGCTTGCTGGCTGATTGTTCTCTCAAGGCTGGTGAGATCCATGATGGCTCTGGTTTGGTTGTCAGTTTCTCTTCTTTTGATGAAAATGATAAAGGAAATGGAAACATACTTCTCTTCTTTGAGGTTTGTTGAATTTTGTGACGCTTTTGTTGGAGAGTTGAAGTTCGAGCAAGAGGGTTTGGAGACCTCTAGTGAGCAAGAGCATGAGGCCGCCTGTGCCCGCCTCACTGCCCATTACCCTCGTAGGTCCATAGAACCTCACTGACTGCGAGTGAGGCTCACGATGCCATGGCCCGCCGCAAAGGCCTCCGAACGGGAAGTCAACAAGACGGCGGGCCCGACTGTTTGTGCCACCTCCTCCCGCCCAAGGGCTTTCGAAACTTCGTGGAAAATCAGTTGAACTTGAACTTGAAACTTCTCCTCTTCAAACCTTGCTTTCTTGAAGCCATCCCTCTCTTCTTCAATCACCATCTCTCGCAGCAGCGAGATACGACGGCCCCCAACACCGACCAGCAAAGTGCGCAACAGGAGTCTGGGCGATGCCATCCCGCCTACTAAAGCTTCTCCCCCATGCCCTTGAGCTTTCTTTCTTGTTTTTCTTGTTTTCTTGTTTTTGTTTTTTTTTTTTGGTGACTGCTTTGAACGAAATTCCGGAATTTTTGAACTGGTTGTTGTTGTTGAAGACGAAGAGGGGGAATAAAGTTGTCGACGTGACGGTAAGAACCAGAGGTATGGGAGCACGGTGGGTCCCCTTCCACGACCGCTCCTGCCTATCCTGCTGCCACCGCCGGCACAACCACCGCCAGCCCTCGGTCGTATTCACCTTTGGCCATCTCACATTCTCGATCATCCCTCCTTTTTGGCAACCAAGTATCCGGTATCTCGCTCCCTTCTCGTGGCAGCCTTCGACCCGGTCACAGCAGGCTTCCTATCTCATCTTTATCCTTCCCTCGCCCGAAGACCCCATCATCCAAGAAATCAGCTTCGAGGTCGACGACTCGGTAAAACTTCTCTAGATCATAGCGAGACGGAAAAGTCCGACGATTCTGAGGATCTCGCGGAAACCCCGTCGGCTAATCTCGGATTCGAGGTGAGAAATCGCGAGCGCCAGGCGCTGAACGAAGACATGTCAGCCGCTACTCCTTCAGAGGCTACCATGGAAGCCACTACCGACTCTGTCATGGAAGAGGGCACTCCAGTCAACGATAATCCGATCCCCATCGATCTCTCGAGCGCTCGCCGAGCCAAGACCCCCGAGGTCGATCCCGCAGGCTCTTCCAGTCTCTCCTCGGCTGCCTCCACTCCTACCAAGCCGGCGTCGGAGCGCCACCGGGCCACTCCCAAGGAACCGAAGCTCATCTCCCACGCAGCGGCAAATAAGCAGCTTCGAGGTCTGATCGTCGCCCACAATGAGACGTCAAGGGAATACAAGAAAGTGTTGGGACTGTACAAACACCTGACCCGCGAAGAGAACGCGATCCCGATAATTCTCGAGGCATGCGTTAGTGCCACCAGCGAATGCCTCGTGCAAGCCATCGAGGATGTTGAGGCGCTTGAGTCTGGCAATCCGCCGAGAAAAATCCCCTACCCGGCCGACATGATTCCCGAGCTTCTTGCCGCCGTCGAGACGGCCGAGGCCGAGAGAAACGAATTCTACGCTGAGAATCGGCGCTTGTTCGTGCAAGTTGCTATTCTAGAGGAGGAGCTCCACGCTCTCAAGGCCAAGGTGAACGTTGCCAAACAAGTTGAGCTTGACGCCAGAACGCGAGAGGGCCTGCCGGTTCTCGCGGCGGCCTGTCAGAGACCTATTGCGCCTTCTGGGCTGCCGGTCGGTACCGGGACTCCGATCAATTCGACACCGGCAGCTGTCCGACGACGGAAACTGACTGGCGAAGCGCCTGCGACATCGCCTGCTTTGCCGGAGAGTATCAGCCAGAATTCGACCGAGCGAAACTTCAGAACGGGAACGTGGACTTTAAGCTTGGATGATCCTCAGACACCCACAAGAAACTCTAGTCGCTGATGATCCAGATGATCTTCCATCTTCCCAGGGAGGGGAAGCTCCCTTTTATAGGCCTTTTTCTCTACGGTTTTGTATGGTTACAGGGTCATCGGGGTTGCAAAGGCGAGTTGTCGTTGATTGTTTGAACAAGCGTTTGTGCATTTCTGACCGGAAAGCAGATGCACCTTACCGATGACTAAGCTTGCCAATAACTCATCGACCACAAGTGCTTGCGGTCAGGCACGATTGCGATTCCCTTCATCGTTTTACCAAACCTGCGCTGGACTGTATGTCATTGCACACGTTCGTGACAGCTTTGCTTAAAACAAACTAACTTATCGGTCACATGGAGTTGTGCCGCTTAAGCCTGAAAGATGATTCGTGGCCCGGTATACCCTAAATTACGACTAAATTTGGCAAATGTATAATCATACGTCCGCGGATCGCGGAGCCGGGGGGACCAGGCACCAAATGTTGCTTGCATGATCTTCCGCCAATGCAGACGCGGCAGCGGGTTGCGCCGCTGACACTTCTCGCAGCATGGTACTATCCAACATGGCATTTTCCCCCGCGTTCTCCAAACTAGGCCGTCTAGACCAGCCGCGCAGCATGCCATTCTGCCAAGCTCGGGGATTCCGGCCACCCATATTGGATCGCATGTGCGGGGATTGAGCCTGGACATTAGCGGCTCTCAGGGAACGATGATGTGTTGGAATAGGAAATGGCAAACGGGATGATGCATGCCACACATCTGGCTTGGTTTGATGCCGTGACTCAGGATACCCCGGGGTCATGTTTGGTATGCATAACTTTTTGCCTTTTGCGCATTCTTGTATGCTATTTCCAGGCGTGATAGCATGGACTACTAACAGTCAATTTCTTGTCTACCCCTTGTCCCTTTTATTTTACTCGTGGCTAACGTTCTCGGAGGAAGAGAAGGAGCCTTTCGTTCGCGGCCAATCTCTCTCTACTGTTCGTCGGATCTCGGCACCACCTTGTCACTAATAATCTTACTCTAAACATGGAACGAACCCATCGCATCCTCACCCGGACGCCCCGAACTGCGGGCACAGCTCGAGCTCGGGACTCTACGCGATCCTAAACCACCATCGACGCCACATCCGTACCGGACCCAACCGGCCGAGCCCCGTTTCCCAGCGTTGTCCCAACCAACGTTTGACGAACGATGGATGGCGCAGCAAAGACACCACTGAATGAAACCGTTAGCTCGGTTATTTCAGATTACCTATCCAGAGTCTGAAGCTCTCAACCGGTCCGCGCACCCCTGTTAAAGATGGCACTTAACATACGAGGTCCACCATTCGAGTCAGCGCCCCTGTCCCCATCGTCTCACTTAGGAAAGCACCTTAGGGAAGGAAGTCGACTTGGCTGCTTATGATCGTGAGAGCTCAGGACATAAGAAGAGGGCGGGCCTGTACCCCGAGTTTCATCTGATGTCCTTTGGTCCTAGCAGGCCTCGGCTTCTCGCATCTTACCAGCCATGTACTTCACATCCCTCGCCGTTGTGGCCGTAAGCCTGGCCTCCATCTCCCCCGCCGCAGCAGACACAACGACCATCATCGACGCCAAATCAAACCGCGGCACGTGGGAGGGATGGGGAACCTCTCTCGCCTGGTGGGCAAACCGCTTCGGCACCCGCGATGACCTCGCCGACATCTTCTTCACCACAAAAACCACCACTTTTCGCGGCGAGGGCCTGCCTGGCCTCGGCTTCAACATTGTCCGCCACAACGCCGGCGCCTGCAGCACGAACAGCATCAATGGCGAGAGTATGGTAGTGTCTAGCAAGATGATGCCGTCCCGGCAGATTGACGGGCACTGGATCGACTACAACAACACCGACCCGGCCTCGTCCGCCTGGAAGTGGGACGTTGACGTGAACCAGCGCACCATGATGCAAAAGGCAAAGACCCGCGGCGCCAACAGGTTCGAGCTCTTCTCCAACTCGCCCATGTGGTGGGCGACCAAGAACCACAACCCTTCGGGTTCCGACGGCGGCGGCGAGAACATCCAGTCGTGGAACCTCCAGCATCACGCTGTCTACATGGCCAACATTGCCAAATACGCCAAGGACAACTGGGGGATCACATTTGAGACCGTCGAGCCGTTCAACGAGCCGTCTGCGAACTGGTGGAAGGCGACCGGTACGCAGGAGGGCTGCCACATCGACGTCGCCACGCAGGCGACCATCATCAACTTCCTCCGCACCGAGCTCAACAGCCGCGGCCTCCAGAGCATGTCCATCTCCGCCTCGGACGAGAATAACTATGACCAGGCCGTCGCCACGCTCGAGAATCTCGGCGACGCCGCCCTCAAGAACGTCTCGCGGATCAACGTCCACGGGTACCAGTACGGCGACGGCGCGCGCGACAAGCTCTACTCGCTCGCCTCGGCACGCGGCCTCCGCCTCTGGAACAGCGAGTACGGCGAGAACGACGCATCGGGCGAGAGGCTCGTGAGCAACCTGCTTCTCGACTTCCGGTGGCTGCGGCCCACGGGCTGGGTGTACTGGCAGGTCCTCGACGGCGGCGGCTGGGGCCTCATTGACGCGGACAACGAGGCCGCCTCGCTGGGGTCGGCGAACCAAAAGTACTTTGTGCTTGCGCAGTTTGCGCGGCACATTCGCGAGGGCATGCAGATCCTGGACGGCGGGGCGGACAACGTGGTGGCGGCGTACGACGCGGCGAATTCGAAGCTCGTGATTGTCGCGGTCAATTGGGGCGCGGCGCAGTACCTCAACTTTGACCTGAGCGGGTTTACGCAGGCGGCGACGAACGGGGCTACGGTCACGCGGTGGAGGACGCAGATTGGGACGGGGGATCGGTATGTGCAGGCGAGCGATACGAAGATGAGTGGGAAGAAGTTTTGGAGTCACTTTGAGAGCAAGATGGTGCAGACGTTTGAGATTCCGAATGTCAAGTTGTGATGTGGTTTGACGGGGAATGGGATGGTTTGTGTTTTGCAATGTTCTTTTTCCTTAGTACATACGAAAGCGGAGGCTATTCACGTTGGTAACGAATAATCCAACCATACTCAAACACAGGGCCCTCAAAAACCAACTGATTGATTTGAAATGGCTTGTTCAGATTCAACATAGGTTTCGATGAGCCTGACAACACAATACCAAGCTGACAGACACCTTGATCTTTCGTCTCAACGCGGCATCATCGGCGTCCGAAATGCCGCCCCTTGAATTTAGATTGACATGCTGGATTAGTACACGTACCCGGCATGCAAGGACAAGGCGACATACGGAGGTGCCGTTCAATTTAAAGTTTCTGCCAAGCCTGCTTAGATATCTGATACCGACTCTAACAAGGATGGATACCTTTAACAGCATCCTCTTATATATAACACAAAAAACTCTAAAAGGGCGGACATCTTCAAGCGACTATTTTTGAAAAGCGTACCAGGGGATGTTTTAATAAGTAAAGTAGACCTGTATATGAATACTGTTGACTAGTTGATATTTCCTGCCTTTTCTTGGCAGTATAGCAGAAACCTTTGAACCGCACCTCCGTCCAGCCTCGAGGTGGGAGGCCGGACGGTCCCATTTTCAAGCCAAGCCCCCGATGGGCTTCAATCACAATGGGCCCTGCTCTTGATGTGCGGTCTTCCGTTATAATCTCCCTTGCAAGTAATTCCATCCCTCGTACACTATGTATATGGAGGAGAAACTTAGTTCCAAAGACCTTGCGCAGATGTGTTTTTTTTTTCTTCTTTTTGTAAAAGACCGGAAATTGGGACGGCGGGGAAGGGGGGACGCTACGAACAAAGTTCTTGCATTGATACCTGCGCTCGCCGTGCGGGCCGAAGATAACGCATTGGTTCTTTCTTTTGATACATTTCTGAATGGCGAGAAATCTTGTCAGTTGATTCTGTGCGTCTGCGTGTTGGGTGATGTGGAGAATTGTTTCCTTACACCCCATTTCATGTCTGGTCGTGGAGGGGTGTATGGGGGTGGTTTGACGACAACGGCGTCGGGTGCGATGGCAGCGGCGGGGCCGGGCACGGCGGCTGCGTCGGCCATGGCACCCAGACGAAGAAGGATGGCGGCGATGAGGAAACTGGGGAGATGCATTCTGGAGGAATTTGAGAGAGAAAAAAAAGAGCGGCTTTGGTTGGAGTTTTGACGATTACGCGTTACGTGGCGGGGCCGGGGTGGAAGCTGTTTAAGAATTCACCGGATGGCGATCAGGGTTGTCGAATTTTGGCTCAGGTTGACTTTCAGCCACATAAGCCCGTCTGAAATTTTTTGCATCAGGAACAAGAACCTCTGTGCCCTTGGATGAATTTTGTCGCGATTTGGATTCAGATTCAGTTCGGCAGATTGAAGCATAGCAAGATCTACTCAGTGCTCACAGCAGAAACGCGTCATTTGGACGACGATGAGTGACTTCTTCCAAAGTCGGTGAGAATGGCCAGACAGAAAACGAAACAGTCCAAAAGTAAATGATCATTCGTACATCCTTTTTCCTGTTGAAGGCTTGTCATTTTGACTCTGAACTCCGCGAAATCTTTGGTTGTTTACCGTTGTGCCTTAAGCCTGAAAGTCTGGGCCCCGTCTTGCTCCTTCAGCGGGACAACTTCAATTCGAACTTTAGGGTGCCAATTCAAGCTCCACCTACCCGACTTGGAAAATTCGTGGGCCACTTCAGAGGGGTTGATTGGGTGTTGATGGAGTCTCGGGCGTGCATGGTCCCAGGACAGCAGGTGGCCGGGGTGCGGCCGATCCCTCGATCAAAGAGGATTCGGATGTCAGTCCACACAGGTGTCCGATCACCTTCGCTTCTAGAGCTCAAATAGCGAGACAAGGCGTGTCAATTTCGACTTAGCGGGACGTTCTCTTCGTGCCAAAAGTTGAGTTGATGGCGAACTGAACTCCGGATGAGTGGACTTTGACAGGTTGCACTTGTTCTACGCAAGAATGTGGGCTAGCCATGGCCGGGTGTCCGAAAGCCCGGGTCTCTACACCAACATCAAATTGAGAAGGTGTCTGAGCTAAGGAATCAAATAATGAAGTTCCTGTACAATCTGGATGCGATTCGTACAGTGAACGATGTTCCGCCCAGTTGTGCTATGCTTCATGATCTTATATTATAGGCGTGGACCCTCTCTATGCAATCGCTATTGCCCTTGGACCACCATCTCAGTCCCTGGTCATTTCTCGTTGTCGTGCCGACTTTAGCATCTTCAATTGTCCCCTACTCCTATTATGGAGCTACTACGGGATTACAGACCAAGTCTCTTCCATATCCAGTGAAAGGCATCAGTTCACTGGCGGTGCGGGTGTCAAAAAGGCTTCACGTTCAAGTAATTTCAACAAGCTTTGACAGAATAAGTATATTGATGACTTCATACAAGTATTAAATCCGTGTCAAGGCGTAATCGTAACCAACTATCCTTATGTGCCCCTTTGAACTCTCTGCCGATGGAAAAGAATATTGCAATAATTGCATTGCGTCATCGATTGACATTCTGCTACCACTGCACATTGGACGAATCCCGTGCTGGTCTCTTGTTCGTTGAAAAAGAAGGTGAAGCAGTGGGTCGCCTGTGTTGCGTAGGCCTAAACACATCTGTAGGAGCTCACTGGAGAGGAGAGGACGGAAATTAGAAATTTGAATAGAGCGCCAACATCTCCAGAGTCTTGAGGCTGAATAGAGAGGGAAATTTTGGCAACTTACTCTTGTCGTTGAAGTTCCATTTGGAATCGGCGAGGTTGTAGATGCCAGGGCTGACAATGTTGACTATGGAAGCCCCCGAGCAGCCATTGTTTCTGTAAATGTGTTAATGGGACCAGACTTCCTTTCATACCAGATCTGTTCATGTATTGATGATGCAGATGAATGACTGGGAAAGAAAGAACTTACTCCCAAATGGTGCAGGACGTTCCCGCATCAGGTCCAAGCGATGAAACCACATCGTTGAAGCCGTTTCCAAGGTTGTCTAGAGAGTAAAATGTTAGTCAAGTCAATCTCATATTACCATCACCACCCATGCACCTATGATGAGGCTTACAGCATTGACCAGTGTTGGAATCCAAGTTCTGGCAGCGGCCAGAGAAGTTGGCGTCGGAGCAAATGTACAAGTGAGTAATCGCCTGGATCGTGCCCTCCTTGGGGTTGCCAACGCTATCGACGGGGATGTTGACGGGTCCGTTGTCTTCGGCGCGAGTGATCACCCCGGCAAGGGCGGCGCTGACCAAGGTGGCGACTGTGAAGATGAACTGCATTGTGGCCTTGGTTCTGTTGAAATTTTGAGAATAATCAATGAAGACGATGCTGGAGAACCTGAGGAGGGGCTGATGATGATGGCTGAGGGTGAAGAGATGATCCTTTGGAATGGACCTGATACAGAGGGGTTAATACACACCTCGAGAATCCGTTATCCACGTCAACTAGCTTCACTGGCTATATTAAAACATCTATTAACATCGTGTACTAACTACTCTGAAGCTTCTCGGCCCATTCCTGACGCCTGCTGCAACGTCGGTGCTGACTTGCGTCTCGTATCTTGGACAGCTTCCTCTCTTGACACCGGCTACAACACCCGGGCTGACTTGCATTCAATAATTGGATCATCGCATGATGAATGGAGTTTGGGATGGAGTCGTGTAGCCTGCTCACGATTCTGTGGCACCTGAGCACCTCTAAGCAGTCTCGCTATGTTCATTAGTCTATGAGTCGTCGGCCCCGCCAGTTGGAAATTTTTTCTACCCTGTACACCTGGCAAATAAAATTTAGACAATATAAATTTTGATTCTCTGTGGAATTCAGGGCATAATTTTTGTTTACGCTACCACACTTCCTGGCTGTCTGACTTTGTCGGTTCCAGTCATCCGAGTTCTAGCAAGACTTCTACATGGGACAGTATGTGCTAGGATTGAGTAGTCGTGAGGAGCGAGATACACGGCTTCCATCCTACATGAGAAGCGGATAAGTAATCACAAATTCACAAAGCAGTTGTTCGTTCCGGAGACGATTATCAGAACAAGCTTTTCGGGAAGGAGTTGATCGTGATTGGCTACTTAGTAGGATATCACGTTGAGAAATATACCAAAAAGGGGTGACGCTGCAACGTTGGTTCACATAAGCAACCACTTATTTCTACACGTGCGGCAACTGACCTCTCATTCTCCTGCATGGCAAGACCGCAAAATTGATGGCTGACGTCCAATGTTACCTTCAGTCGTTCGGGAAGGTCGGTCTAGCCGTGCCGCATGCAAGACCAACACCCGGCATGGGGCGAAAGGATTCAGATCCGAAGAACTATATCGCAAAGAGGCGGGATTGACTGTATGTGAAAGGGTTCAATCGGCTGCATCCTGTCGTCTTAGGTGGGCCCGTATATGTGCGTTGACGAGAACAGGAGCGGGCGGGGAGCGAAACCGCCGACCCAAACTGGCAAGGTTCATGAGTTGTGAAACCCGAATTCGTGCAAGACTGCTTTTCTCACCTGCAGGTTACCACCGCAGGCGAATTACCCGGCCATTTACGAAAAGTCTTGTTTCTGACCAGCCTAGTAGCAGCAATGTGCCTCATACTATTCAGGCAATATGGGAATGATAAGCGACTTATCTAGGCTAGTAAGCACACGGTATTAGGCCACAGTATCTATCCTGCTAGGCAAGCATGATGCAGTGGTCTCACTTCAAGAGAGCCGGCGGAAAGAAACAACCTGAGGTAGGCAATTCCACGTTTATTACGCGCAAAAACTTGGGCATATCCCTGTTTTGAACACCGGTTGATTTCTGTACTCTTCTGACATTCTATCCTTCTTCATGCTTACCTACATAGGGTTTATGTGCATAAATATGCCTTCGTCCGAACAATCTTCCCAGCCTGCATAGTAGACTACACGGATGGACGAGAGAGTTGTCCTTCGTAAGCGGCTTCGAGGCACTCAAATGTAGAAACAAAAGTATGCAAAATAATCAAAAGAGATAATCATCCGCGTGATGCATCCGCCGGTAATCGAAACCGGGTCCCTTGCTAACCAGGTGCTAGAATGGAAGGCAAGGATGATAACCACTACACTACAGATGCGGATGTTGGCATTCGGAGAGCGCCGGAACTGTTGACAGGGAGGAGCAAAAGAACATATATATAGCTCAGATGCCCCGCAACTGTGGCTTTGTTCAAGGCCCACAACGCTCAACTTTGGAGGCCCAAGTTGAGGCATTTCGTTCAGGGGGAACACCCAGATTTGAGGGCGTTAAAAAGTGCACAAAGGTCACAAAGAGGTATACAGTATCTGAGAGATCGCTTCATTTGGTCAAGGAACTTTATCTTATGGATACTTGGGCAAGCAAGTCGAATACTCGATAGTTAGGTCTATGTTCTCTTCAGACCATCAATCCCATTCGGAGGGCGGCTGATCCGCCAAGTCAACCTGGAAAACCCCGCTTGAGAACCTCACAACCAAATTCCTGGCCTCCGTCTCTGGGTCCTCGACATTCCACCGCTCCTTGTCTGTTTCCCACGTAAACTTCGTTATCCGACGGCTCTTGCCATCATCCCCTGCGGGCGCGACCGTGATCTTGCCCAGCGTGAATCTGGTCCAACTCCGGGCAAACACGACGCTCTCCTCGCCGTCCTTCTCGAGGTAGACAATCACCCAACGGTCGTCCATGTCCCGCGGGGTTAATCCCTTCTTCATGCGCTCCCATCCGTCTGGGGAAATGACGCGCGCTTCGTCCCACGGCGATGAGGCCGGCTTCGAAAGCTCCCACTGTGCGTCGTCGCTCATTTTTCTGGTGGCGCTGCGCGTTGCGGGGTCGTACTGTGCAAATTCGGCGAATGTCGCACGTGAAGTGGTGTTTGGAAATCGGCGAGCTGGGCTTTAGGTCGTGAAATCGGCTACGTTGCGCAATGGAAGACTTGAGCGAGGGTTGAACGACATCAAATATATAGAAGCAGATCCAGGAGGCTGCTGCCTGCTCATCCATGTCTTCCCCCTCATTTCTGCCTGCTGATACTGGCGCTTGTCCGCGTGATTTTTTACGAGATTACTCAGACGCTGAAATCCTGTCAGCTTGAGAGAGCTTCTCTGCATCTCGCCTTCATAGTCGGTCAACGACTGCAAAGTTCGGAAATTCGGCTATAGGCTCAGCACTGCGAACTCGATACGTAATATTCTTTCACCAATTCGCAATGCGTAACCAAAGATGAATTCTATGGCTACTGCAGTTCTTCCCAGAACATTGTTCCTTTGTTACGAAATAAGGCCTAGCATCAGCACAGACGAAGACGTCTGCCACGTGCTTTCTCGCGTGGCCCTCATTATCACGCAGTGTATGGACTTGACCTTTTCCTTTGTCCGCTTTGGGTTATTACAAGCCACGTTCTTCCCACTTCATTTGCCCATTGCTTTGTGCTCTAACTCGAGGCATTTTGGAGCAATTGATGCCTATGGTTCACGGCGCACAGGCACATGCTTTGCTCATCAACTTTTCGACTCCTCCAAGAGCCCGATGATCGGCCTGTGGGCTGTTGGCAACGTATTCCATCGATCTCGGGACTCTGCATCTTGCTGCTGGGTCCCAAAATACTTACAGCGGGTAAGCTTTCGGGTTCCTGTTAGCATCTGATCCGTAGATTGTGGGGTCGATGTCAAGGGCGCGATTCTACAGACGAGGCTTGCTGTGCTTTCTAGAAGAGGAATAGCTTTGGAAGCATTCGCCACGATGAATTCTCTTTCAGTCCCAGGAAACGGCCCTAGCTTTCGTGGGCACTACCAGCTCGCAAGGATGGATCTTTTCGTCCTGATTGTCCGGGACTAACGGCGACATCAGAATGTCTCGCTATGGCATCTCTTTGGTTCCCGGAAACCTGGGTTCTCTAGCATCCACAGCTAAGCATCCAGACCTTTCCCAGCACGGCCACGCCAAAGACGATCAAAAAGATTTGGAAATGATCCCTTATTACATCGGCACGATTGGTGTTGCCTCGGGTCATGTATGGCCTGAGACAGGCACAGCTACCATGCCAAATACGGGAGACGTCGACCGGAAACGGGCCGCCCTGATCTAGCCAGTCTCTAGTGATCAGCACCGCCTGCGATAGCGTGGTTCGGTCAAAGCGCTCGGGTTTCTTAGCTTCGTAGGCCACGCGAGATGTGTTAGTCGTTGCCTCGTCGCCCAAAGGGTAGATAATCGCGCGGCGGCGTTGGAGATAGCCTCCACTGGCGGTCCGTCGGCGACAATGGGGATCCCGGGAAGAGGTCGACGACAGAACAGATGAGTCGGAAAGGACATAAAACCTGATGAGAAGACCACTGTAATTGCTCCCGGTGGCCAAGAGCATCGACTCCAATCCAATCTTTCTCTACTCTTTCCAGATTCACGAAACATTTCTTCACATCCAAGATGGGTATCTACTCGTTAACCACGTGTCTCCTCTCATCCACAGTCTTCCTCAAAGCCCTTGCCGCGCCTGCCAATGCCGGCCCAACGGTCATCGTCGCCTCCGGCATCGTGATAGGCACCACCGCCCAGCCAGCATCAGCAACGGGATACGCCAATGCGTACATGGGAATCCCGTTCGCCAAGTCTCCGCCAGAAAGATTCTCTCCTCCCCAGGCCGCGGATGCCTGGTCCTCTCCGCTGTCGGCTCAGGCTTTCAAGCCCGCATGCATCCAGCAGTTCACCAACCAGGGGAGCTCCCAAACGCTGCAAAAGGCCTATTTCGGAAATCCGACTGGACCTCTTACGAGTGAGAGTGAAGACTGCTTGTACCTCAACGTCTTTACTCCTCCGACTGCAACGGCGAGCAGCAAAAAGGCTGTGATGTTTTGGCTGCACGGTGGTGACCTCCAGTTCGGGACCGCCAGTCTGCCAATCTACGATGGAAGCTCGCTTGCCATCACCCAAGATGTCGTGGTGGTCACAATCAATTACCGTACCAACAGTAAGATCCACTCACAGGTAGACAATCAGTGACCATCCTAACCAGTTTCTCTAGTCTTTGGCTTCTCCAACTCCCCCGAGATTGCAACTGGTTCCCAAAACTCTGGATATCTTGACCAGCGCTTCGCTCTTCAGTGGGTACAGGACAACATCGTCAAGTTCGGCGGCGACCCCTCGCGCGTGACCATCTTCGGCGAGTCTGCTGGCGGAGAATCCGTTAAGCAGCTCCTCGCAAACCCACCGAGCCCGCTGCCCTTCTCAGCCGCCATTTTGGAGTCACAACAAGCCCTTCTCCTGGGTTCCGGGTCCGACAGCTACTCCAAAGTCCTGAAAAACTTCAACTGCACCGATATCAAGTGTCTTCGTCAGGTCTCGGCCACGGATATCAAGGCATTCATCGAGGCACAGGCACTCGTGTTCCCTCCCGTAAACGGCGATGGCACGTCCATCGGCGATGTCCGAAGCAGCATCTCCTCCAAGAAGTGGCCCAAGATTCCCGTCATCATGGGTACCAACCTCAACGAGGCTCGTGTCTTCCTCGCCGTCGAGGGCATAAGCGACGGAACCACAGCCTTGAACGCAGCGCTGTCTCAAATCGGCATCACCTCCGCCCTCACAAAGAACTCCATCCTGGCCTCCTACGCCGCCAAGGCCCTCAACGACCCCTACATCATTGCCGACAGGATCATCACCGACGCCGTCTTCACCTGCACGACGTCCAGCCTGGCAAACTACCTGGCCGTCAACGGCTACACCGCCTACCGCTACCGCTACGACCCCGTCTTCGCCTCGACCAGCATCTTCGCCAACGCGGGTTCCTACCACACGAGCGAAATCCCGTCCGTCTTCGGCACCTACCCCGCGTACAGCAAGTGGGGTGCCGCGACGGCGCAGCAGATCAAGCTGAGCTCCTACATGCAGGGCGTCTGGGGCGGCTTCGCCAAGAACCCCAGCGGCGGCGTGGGATGGCCCAAGATTGGGAGCGCTCTCGGGTTTGAGCTGGGGCTGTTGGGCTCTGGATCGTCTAGTGGTGTGACGGTGGTGCCGACGCTGGCGGCCGACTACCCCTGTTTTCTTTACGCGGGCATTGAAGATGCTCTCGGCCTTTCTTATTAGTGTAGTTAGGTTTGGCTGGAGTATGGAGTTTAAAAGGTTTAGAGTACAAAGACAACCTATGTATATAGTATTGGCGCAAGAAAGGACAGATGGCTTAATCATGAGATTATTTGATTCGTGTTCATGAATGAGTACCTGAGCTTTAAATTAAGTTACTTGACTTTAATCACAAAGTAGAATTACAAAATGTCTTTTTCCTTTATCAAAGACAATTCTCCAATATATAAACCATTTGTCACGGATATTTCAATTGTCTCATCGTCACTTTTTACCATGCCAAGGCAAATCGAGTCTTTTGAATGAAGATTACGATTGTGGTCTGTATGTGTATTCATAGGGTCTCGAGAAATACAAACCGTCCCTTGCTGGGAAGGGAACTGGCTTCGAGGCGAAACCTGCCCGAGCTCGTGGCTTTCACTTTGCCTACATGTAAGATACGTATGAAATGGCTCTTGACTCTTGACAGACTATCAACCTCGCGCCACAACAAATATTCGGGAAGTTCCAGCTATTAGTCCCGCGTTAAACACCACGGCCTATCGATAGGTCCACACACGGCACCAGAGTCAAGTCACTCAACGACATCGTCTTGTTTGGCTTCGAGGCCCACTCTCGGTTCAAGCACTACGGCAACCCCAAAGATCTTTTGAGTCGATTGAGGGATTTTACCAAACCACTAGTGCGTTCCATGTCAACCTTTTGCAAAAGATTTTGACTGTGAAAACTGCCGGATTCGCAACCGCTGATGAGTTGTGGCTTGTTTGGAGGTCACTCAAGTCTGCATTGAACCGAATAGTTATGACATTACCTTAACCGACTGTCTCCTCGAGTCCGTCCAAGCTATACACCCTGATCTCCCGTCGAAATGGCGTCCTTCCACTGATGATGGGGGTAACTGGGCTGGGTTGATAGATGGCATACGTCTTCTACACAGTACCAAGAAGCGACGCGCTGAGCGCGCCAGTCCCGAGCGCGGACGTCCCGATGGTGAGGCCGAAGTGGGGGAAGGGGGAGGGGGGGGGGTTGAAAGTGCTCATGATTCTGGCAACCTTTCGTCATTTTACAATTAAGTGCTGACTAGCAATCTATTTCGCCGGAAGTTGAAACTTAATAAATGCCTCCAGTGATTCAGGCGGGAAGTTTGGTCATCCAGGACGTTGCATAAAGCCTGTTTGGGACGTATGGCCGGGGAATGTTGAGGGCAGCTAGCCAACTGCTGGAGTTGGTGCTCTGGCGCCACCGAAGCTCACGCAATTCTAGACAATCCGTCAAAACTTCTTCGACGCAGGAAGGACGCAGTACGGGGATTAGTATCATGAAAAGTTATTTGGGCGTTGCACTGTATCCTCCAGTAGTTATCAAAAGATCAGATGTCTTCTCATACCCCTCATATGAAGACCTGCGGGGTGTCCTTAAGCTTCAGGGCCTAATTAAATCTGCTAAGCTCCAAGTAATGACCACACACACCCCCAACTCTGACCAAAAAACTCTTGATGCGGCCTCTGGGAAGGCTGCGCCAAAAGATCTTGACAAGAGTGGGATTCGAACCCACGCCAATTGCTTGACTAGCACCTGAAGCTAGCGCCTTAGACCGCTCGGCCATCTTGCCTTGCGATTTTCGACCCATTACACAAATATATAGGAAGAGGCAGTTGAACATGCAGATTTTGAAAGATCGTGGCACTACGGAGGGCCTCCGTGGAACATAAGTAAACGCTCCGAATCTTATCCCAGCTATCCATGGAAATGGCGAGTGAGAGGCTATACATCACACGTTTTATCACCCTTCGAACCAAGTCTTGTGTCTCCACTGTGTACCTAGGATGCCAGATTCAGTGACACAACTGGTAAAGACGCGTTTGGCTTTCAAAAGTTCATCCTCTGTAGAAGTCATATCACCTATCAGACACAGGATCCACCCCAGGGCTTCAAGATGTATTCGTTGTTGGAGCTTTGTTGTCCATTACTCCAGGGAATCCATTCAATCTCCTTAGCTCAGATGCGCTTTCCTTAAGTTGTCACAGGTGTAAAACAGAATATCATCAGCAGAAATGTTTCACCGCACTCAGCTCTGTCAGTAAATTAGCTTGAAGATATCATACTTGCTCGAGCCTGAAACGTAACCAGCCACGAGCCAAACCTGCCTTCCTAGCGCGCTAAAGGTTCCTTCTGATGTCTATGGGGCCTTTCTTAATCTGGTTGCCACAAGGAGTGGCAGACTCCTGTCTTCGTATTCTAATAGAAACACGATGGTCAGAATATCCACAATACTGCTACAGTTTAAGGCTATGCCAATCTCCCAATGATCGACGACCGACTTGGCTAGCGGCTCTAACCAGCGCCTTCCACTTTGAGATATCAACTCCTGATTGTCGCCTGCCTTATGCTTATTTTTCCCCTTGCATACAATCACCTTCTTTGAATTAGCTGTCGCTCGTTGTTACACGCCTTTCACTGACAAAAGGCAATGTTACCCTGCCATTTCACAGCAACTGACGATTAGGACAAGATCTTGTTCCAAACAAAGGCGTGCAATCACTGCAATCAGCACGCAGTATTTAGTGAGCTCGAAGATCCTAACTTTGTAAACATTCTCCCCCAACTATATTCTACCTTTCCTATCAATCAGATAACTAAAACTTTTTCAGGATATTGAACTGCGTCGCAATGGCTCCGTCATTTGTGGATAACAACACCGCTGCCAAGGGAATGAAGGATCAGATCAGAGCGCAGCAAGCTAAGAACTCCACGACCAAGCCTGAGTGGGCCAAAGCTTTCAAGAATGAGAAATCCTTGTTGACCAAAGGCCCTCGGCCGCTACACCTCGTGGACAAGCACAGCAAAGGCAAAAGCGGCCCTCCGTCCAACTCCAAACCCCCACGTCCCAAAGATACCACAGCTCAGAAGCCCAAGACTTCCGCCGAGAACCCATACTGCAGCGGCGCCATCCAGGAAGACTTGCCAATCCAGATGATAGACGCCGAAAACGGACAGCGCCTCCCGGACTCTTTCCATCGCCACACCCCGAGTCATCTCCACGTCCACGAGGGTGCAGGTGATGATCAGGTCAAAGGCAAAGATGGGGAGCGAGTTCAAAATGGAGAGCTACCGCCCATCAAGACAATCGGCAAGCTGGTCGAGTCTGCCTTTTACCTCTACCAGATGCGAACGTACGGTGATAACGAGAAGCACTCCGTCCAGCGTGCCAGAGCCAAGCGTGCGGTCATGTCGCAAGCCTTTTACATCCTGCTTGTCATGACCATCAGCCTGGGCCTGTCTATCGGGGTGTTCGTCGTCAGACGTGGGGAACCTCCAGCGGACCTGGTTTGGATCTTCGTTTGGATGGGGCTCAGTGGTGCTGTTGTGCTCTGGGCCATTGTGGCTCTCATCCTGATCCAGTGGTCAAAGAAAGGGCTCAAAAACGACTTGGAGGTTGCTAGAATGGGAGACGCGTTCAATGCCACCACTGCTGGGGTTGATAATGCTGAGGGATGCTTTGTGAATGGTGTGCGTTACAAGAGCGATCAGCCTCCCAAACCGGACTCCACTTCTGATGAAGCCGGCCAACCAGCGAGCGGTCAAAAAACCACGGAAGCCCCTGGATCTGGCAAACAGCCAGGTCTTGATATAATCCGTGAGTCGAAAGGTAGCTGGGCACACCACACAAGAAAAGAGCTATCCAAGTTGTCAACGATGCAGGAGTGAAACCGGAGGGCATGAGTTATGGTGAATATGGCAGGTAAAGGACCTGAAGGTAGATCTCAATGGGAGAAAGAAAGCAAACTTTACATGAGGGAGTCGGGTTGTCGTTAACTGGCTGAGCCAATACATTAAAATCATGTCTTCACATCTACAAGCCCCGGATAAACAGGTCTCTAAGGTCGGCATTTGATCTTCCAGACCACTTTGATATCTACATGTATTCAGGCAAGTCACGAGGGCTAATGCGACGCTGGCTTCTGATTGGCCCAAAAAATAACGATTCGTCCCTGATGATTTTGTGTATCCTGCCGAGAAGAGGCAGGCGCGTGATTTCTTCCCTGAGGTAAGACCTCTGCTATGGAAGTGGCATGCATTCTTACTCTCGGACAATACCGAGACCGAACAGACCGCAAGAGTCAGACCATAAAAGTCCCTGGAACCATGAATCATCAATTGCCGAACGATTCTGTACGACCCGAGATCATCTTCCCCAATTTTCAATCATCGCATAGCTTCATATGTTTTGCTTGCCTGTTTGCCTGGCCACGTGTCCAGGATATGAAGTGCCTCATAGACTTGGGACTGGACAATTGGGGTCGACAAAATGTGGCAAAACAATGTAAGACAATAGTAAACATCAGATTCGGTTACCATAACTGGATTCCTGGAATGGAGGATGATTGCTGCTGGCAACTCAACATTCCGGGGATGGCTGGATTCTGAGTCAATGTGGTGCAAAATTTAACCATGGGCATCTCTTTCTCCGCTACTCCTCTCCCTGGGGATAACTTCACCTTTATCATCTTTGGAAGTCGTCCAGGTCGTTCCTTCCCTCTGGGGGATGAAAACTTGCTCACCTTGAATACTTGGCGTTGATTGGGTGCCGCACGCGTCTTCAACCTATCACTGCTGCATCAACTTTTGCAACCAGCACAGCATGGAATAATAATCCCCTTCTCAAGAAAACAATACTCTCTTTTCCACATCACCGACCCTCTTTTCCTTCCCTTGTTCACCTTCTGCGCCTGTTCATTCTTCTTCACAGCTTCTTCTTTGTCTCTCTTTTCGTCACACTCTATTTTGTGAATACCCTCACTCAGAAGAATTGTCACAAAGAATACATCGTCTGCAGCAAGAATGTCGCTCCCGCCGCAGGCTTCGTTCAGCTCTGCTACGACTGCAGTGGCCAGTCGTGGAACAGCCTACCCCTCTGTGGAGGAATTCACCTCATTCAAGCTGCCCACCAAGCCGAGAATCATCAAGACACTTACTAGCGACGACATCTCCGACCTCTCTGACGAGGGAGATGACGGCCCTCACAAGCCTAATCCCTCGACGCCGATCCCTCCTTCTCCCGTCACATCTGACGAGTCAGATCATGACTTCAACCTTGACGACACACCTCCTACTGTGTGCGGAAAATCAATGATTTACCCGCGTCATCCTCTCAGCGGAAAGCGCCCCATCAGCATCCCAGTATCCCCTCGCTGGCCTTTCCAGGATGCAACCCCACGCCCCTCGACCATGGTGCCGATTGCCCGCAGCATCACCGTCTCTTCCAGCCGCTTCAACCAGAGCCGCTCCAGAGATAACTATACCCCGCCCATCGAGGTCAGCGTCACTGAGTCTCTGGATGAGTTCCAGATCAATCACCCCAATGGCCGCCTTCTTGCGTCTCACCCCCAAGGTGTACCCAACCACGAGACTGGACGAAGCCTGACCGGTCGCAACTTGGCCAATATTCCCACCCTTGTCGAGAAGTCCGAGAAAGACGCTCAATCAAGCAAGGTTATCCCTTCCCAGCATCGACAGAGACCCTTCAACCTCTTCCACCGCCGCCGCTGGAGCTCACAGGTCCTCAAGGTTCAGCTCCTTCGCCGCCGCCAGGATAAGCGCAAGAGAGCCTTTGAGACAAACACCATCTGGTACGAGCGCATTAGTCTCGATGACAACATCTATGGAGGCTCCATCGTTCTCACCCTCTTCTTTGTCACCAACGCCATTGTCTCCATCACAGTCATCATCACTATGACGGCCTCCAAGATGAGCATCCCTTACTTCATCATTGTTTGGGTTATGGCCAGCCTTATCGTCATGACCTTCACCATCATCATGCTCTTTCGCATGCGCTCTTTCCGCAAGAAGGCCATCGCTCTCATTGATGACGAGAAGAGAATCCGCTCAACCACCTTCCCCAAGCTCTCCCACGAGGGCCATCTACACCTGCCTGCCGATTCGGCGGAGGTTGCTCATCGCCGCCAGCTTGGCGCCGCCATCGCGAATGGAGAAGCTCAGGCAGGAGGTTTAACTCACGATGAGTCTGAGAAGAGCTCCGATGGAACCGTCGTTGACCAGATTGCTCAGCCGTCCCCTGTGTTCGACCCTCTCGCCCCGGCAATGCCACGCGACACCAGCAGCGTGTACCTCTCGGCCAGCGGTACCTCTCCCCAAGGAATCGAGCATCTTCACGATGCCTCCCGTCACAGCATCGATCTCATGGCGTCCAGAAACTCCAGAGCCAGCTCCATGACGGCCGTTGTCGGCTCGGCTGCCCCCACTGCTCCGATGAACAACCATGAATCGAACTGCTAGGGTCAGCACGACAGGGTTGAGATGGATTATTACGGCAGGATGCCGGCTTTGGTTTGAGTGGGTTTTTTTCTCCTTTTTTGGGACTTGCGATTTGGGAAAGGGGACATGAATGTTTCGCCACGGGAGTCTGGATGGAATATGGAACGGCGATTGATTTGTGAAGATACCCCCCTCCGCGCAGAGATGGAAACGGTTTCGGTTTATTCGTGATTTGGTGTAAGAAAACTGTCCATGAGTACTAGGCAAGGCAATTACATATGATTTTCAAAACCTCGTGTTCCTTTACGTTTCTCATGTCTCTGATGAACTACTCGCAGACAGGATGAACCGGCCTAAAGGCGCCAAACCATCCATAAAGAGGATTGCGTTTTGGGACATCCTTTAGTTGTCGCCACATTATTCGGCCTCCACTCGATGATTTCCAAACTTTGAGTCAAAGACCCTCTGGCTGGACGACGGGTTGACAAGGGGGTGGGGGGGAATGGTACTTTGGTGGACGGCTTGGTTTGGACATGCTGGCATCATCCGTCTTCTCCTTACAAAATACCGCGATGCTGACTACGCGGCTATCGCCCTCAATCGGCGGCAAAAGCTGCGATTTGTGAGCACCAATGAGCTGCGGTACATGCCTTGCTTCAAGACCCCAGGAGGAGCCTTGCCGCTCACTGCGGTCACAACCCAAACTGGACACCCATGCACTGTGATATTTGTTATTGCTTCTCATCGCCGACCAATGGAGTGATTGCCGCGTTGCTGGAGGCAGGAGCAGACCTATGTTTAAATGACAACAAAGGCAATGCGCCATAAGTATGGCATCGGAAAAGGTAATTCATGTCTTACTCGCCAGAGGAATTCGATGCTGTCATTGCCATGAGTTCAGTCGGGTTGTTGTTGTTGTTGTTGTATTGTTTAACGCCGGTAAGTCTCGTAAGAAAAGGGCGTCCGCGTCGTCACTTAGCTATAATACTTCTCTAAATATATAATCTTTACTACCTAAATATTCTACTATACTTTAATTTTAATCCCGTATTAATCCTTTATACTAAATATAAATAATATTAATATAAATAACTTAATATATAATAATATAATATTTTATTTTATACTCCGTAAAAAAAGTAAATTAAACCTTATTTAAAAAGTAAAGCGAAGTTTATAAAATATAAATATTAAATTATTTTAGTAAGTTATTAATAATTTTAAAAAAGGGATACTTTTTATAATTTAATTAAATAAACCCTATCGCACCCTTTTTATTCCCTTAGGTTACGCGGCTATTATTAAAAGAGTTCAGATAGCTTTTAATAAGTTTAAAAATACGAAAACGATAGGGCTTATTCTAACGGGGGGTCTATTATTTATAATAATTACTTATTTTAAAATAAATATTAAAGTAAAAACGCGAACGTTAAAATTATATTAATCTATTAGATATAAGTATTAAAAATTAGGTCGATATTTAATATAATAGCCTAAGGCGCTAAGTAAACCTATAATAAAAGCCTAACTAAAGGCCCTTAAATCTAAGCCGGTATTTTAAAAAATACTAACGTTTTATAGCTTATAATATTAAACCGTTATAATCCAATATCTTTTACGCCTTTTAAATATATAGGTCTAGGGGCATATTAAATAATAATACCCGGCTTTTTATTAAATAATATATTGTAATATTAAAACAGAATTATTAAAAAAAATTTATATTTTTAAAAAACCGAATAAATTCGGGCTATTTTTTATTAAATTATTAGGATACTAAGCCAGGACCCCTTTAAAAATATATATTTTTACCGGTTTTTTAATAAAATAATAAATATATTAACGTTTTTTATTTATTATAAAAATAAAACCTTTTTATATCGAAATATTAATACTTTTTATAATACGTTATAAAGTCCCCATAGTAACTTCGTATTACGATTAATTAATAAAACTATTTATAATTAAGAATTTTTAATTTTATTATCGGTTTAATATTAACGTTTAATTTAAATAGGACGTATTTAATAAGTTATTTTAACTCTTATTAATATTAAATATTAAACTAATATCGCTTTTTAATATACTATTTAATATAATTAAATATTAATAGCCTCGCGGCTAAGTCGGCGGGCTTTATTATAATACCTCGCTTAGTTAATTAATCTATTATTTCGTTATTTATAATATCTTTATACCTAGGGACTTAATAAATATTAACTAATATTAATACTAAATCCGCTATTTTATAAAATAAAAAAATAGCTTTTTATAAAAATTTAAATTATAATTTATTTAAATAATATATAACTATTATATTATTAAAATATACCGTAATATTTATAGTTTCTTTATTTAAATAATATTTTAAAACGTCCGTAAGGCTAGCCTTAGTTTTTTTAACTTTAATATTAAAAACTTCCGCTTTAAATAAGCGGCGGGCGCCGAAATAAATTAACTTTTAATTATAATAAACTATGTATTTATAACCCGTAAGCTCTAGCTCGGTGTTACGACCCAACACGTATTGCCAGACTAAGGCCCTGCCCTATAGGACCTACGGCGGCTATTATATTATATATATAATAGTAAGAACTTAGACGGCCTCCCTTAAGACGGAAGAATTATAAATAAGTTATATAATTACGATTATATAATAAAATAAAAAACGAACGCTTATAAATAAATAAAACGGGCGATTATAAAAATATAAAACGGACGACCGCTTAGTAAACGGTTAAATAATAGTAAATAAGATATTATAAAAGATATATTTACGATTAAAACTTATATATAGGATAGCCTAAACTAAGCTTAAGGATAGACTTTTATAATTTTTTTAATAATTAATTTTTATATTAAATCTAACGATTATTTTTAATTATTTTTATTAAAAATTTATTTAATAAGACTATAATTAATCACCGGAGCCTTACTTATTTTATAATTTATAAATAATAGTTTTATTAAAACTATTTTTATAACGATTATTATTTATAAATATTATAGCCCCGATTTTTATTAATATAAATTTTATTACGATTAGTTAATTATAATATTTTAATTGTTTTTATTTAGTAAGTCGATTTTATAAAAACTTATTAAATAATATAAACGATGTTTACCGAATCTTTTTTTAATAAAAGTAAAAAGCCCTAGGCTTTAAACGCTAAGCTAGCCTAAGCCGAAAGAAACGTAGAGATACCCGATGTTAAATATAACTTTAATAAGGACGCGGTCCTTAATAAGATAATATACGCCTAAATATACTACGTCGTTAACTAAAATATTTAATATAATAAAAAACTAATAGACCTTTTTAATATTATTATTATTTAATTAATAAAAGCTTAAATTAAAAACGACCGCGATATTATTAAAATATAAGGAATATTTAATACTACGTTCGAAAGATTTAAAAACGAACGCTAAAAAGCTTTAAACCTCGCCGACTAAATAAATACGTTTTAAAATACTATTAATATCGTTATTACCCTTTTTAATAAAGAACGATAAAAACTTAAACTTAACGTACTTATTATTTTCGATAGGACCTTTAAAATTTTAAAAAGATTCTTAATTTAAGTTAAGAATTTTTAAAACTTTTATTAAAAAGACTTTAATAATAAAATTAAAAAAGTTATATACGCCGCTAACTTTTTTAAAAAATAAGTTTTTAAATAATTTAAACCTTTTTAAAAAAAGTATTTTAAAAAGGAAACTTTTAACGAATATTTTATCAAAATACGAGATATTTATTATAATTTCGATAGGTTTAAAAAAGCTTTTAAATCGCTTTTTTAAGATTTAAATAAGAAACGATAAGCCGAGCGTAATATATTATAATTCTAATAAATTAAATTAATAAAGGACTATTTAACTAAGTTTAGACGCCTTAGTACTTAATTTAATTTTATTAACGATATTAAGATTTTTATATTTTATTAAGGATTAAAAGATAAGGTTAAAGACGAACTTATTAAGATTAACGAATTAAACGATTTTTTTTAATATATTGAATTTATAATTAAGATTAATAACCGTTTTTATAAAAGAAAAAAAGAAAGGAAAGAATAACAATAGGAACTTAACTTAGGACGTAAGTATTAATAGTAATTTTAACGTAATTTTAATTAAAGATACCGTTATAATAGGAATAATAACTTTTAATAAATTACTATTTATAGATAATATAGCGGATTTATAGATTTTAATATAGCGAAACGAGACTAATCTTATTAAAAAAAAGAATTTAAATATTATAATTGCGATAAGTTAGGATATATGGCTAGAGATTATAGATAGCTTAAACGAATTTAATAACGACCTGTTTTTGAGAAATAGATTAATATTACTTTTAAAGAAGTATTTTATAAATCATTTTCTTAGACCGTATATTATAACGATAACTGCCTTATTTATTGAGATAATAAAGAATAATTAGGATAATATTTTAAAAAACCCTTTAATAAGACTTTTGTTATAATAAATAAATAAAAAGTAGTTTAACGTTTAAAGACTATCGAAGATTATAATAAGGAGTGTATTTAAATATTATTAATAATATACGAAATAGTTAGGATATAACTTATTAGCTTTTTTAACTAAGCGTAAACTTTTACGATAGTAAGAAATAGATTAGAAAAAAGGATAGTAGTTAAAAATAAGGACGACTTATTTTAGTTAAAAGACGAGATTTTAGTTTATAAAATACGGATTTTAAATAAATTTATTTATATGATACGACGAATATTTAATAAAATGATTTAATATTATGAATATTATTTTTTAACGATAGAAGATTATAATAAAAATTATATTTATATATTAATTAGTTATTATAAAATTAGCCGATTATTAAAGAAAAAGCGATTAAACGTAAAGGTAATACTCGCTTTATTTTAATAATGATTTTAGAAACGATTAAAGGCTAAAATAAAAAAAGACTTTTTTTAATTAGAATACAAAATTAATAAAGAAATAGATATTATATATTTAATGTATAGATTTTAGATATTAAA